AGTTCATAACCTTCATGCTAACCAGAACACTTTCCCCCCACGCCCCCAACGAACACAACCGCCAGTGAATTCCGTACAGGTAGCAGGCTCAGCTGATGACTTTTAGGAAGAGCTTCACCAAGCCAACTGCTCTCACCATAACAATAGATGTCACTGCAGAAATTCTGAGGTGATAACACACTGGACCTTAAATAAGGCTTTGCTCTTCCCTCTCCTTTCATCATGCATATACGATCTATGAATATTATCACAATCATGAACTAGAGTTTATTTTCCTACTTTAATACTTATTTTAGATTTTAATAACTAGACCATCAAACTTAAATGAAACACACAGAATTCAAATGAAATGGGAAGGCAACTACAAGGCACCCATCAGAAAAATGGTAAGAAATAAAACTATCTGGATTATACATCTGAAAGAGAATTACCATGTTTTTCACGCCATTTGTGGACAGCTGAAACAACAGGGTCATAATCAACAACTCGTGTCTTAGCACTGCAACATGAATGAAGTTCTCTGTCTTCTCAATATATCAAATACACGATGATCTAAAACGCTCAATGTCATAAATCGACCGACTACAACGAATTTCAAAATATATTTTGAAGATGTATTGAAAACTAGCAGAATAACTGCTTTGTTTTGCTTTGGGGGGAGAGCGGACATCAAATAAACCTAATACACCCTGTAAATGCATCCGGTGAGGTGCTGGGAAGCCAAGTCACAACGATGAGTGTTCTGGCAAGTTGGCATCTTGTCCCTAGCTGATGGCCTCATTAGCGGTGGGCCAGCTATTTGTATCAAACTAAACTTCTTGAGGATTGCATATCCAGAGTACAAAGTACTGCACAGGTGTGTCTGGACTGAATCCCTCACAAAATGGCTATTCCATATATCTTCTCAATAAGAGTATTCGGACTGCTAAAATGATGTTTTCTGTATATTGAAGACAAATGAGGTGACAATTTCAACTTTTTGCCCAATTTCAAGGATCACCTATTCTAGCCTCCATACTATTTTTAAAGGACACAATATAGCAGGTTAAATTTTACGTTTGCTTTCAGGTTTAAGCGTTTTTCAGAATAAGAACTACTTCATGTCTGAGGGTATCAAACCCTCAACAGACTTCCCAGCAACTTTTAAGGACGTGCAAGAACACCAGGCAGACAGAAACTCCCTGCTTTCCCTTTAAAGCACTAACCATTGTGGAAGGCACGGAAGACATCATTTTGACTGGGGACCACCAGCATGAATGTGGTGGGGAGACTGCAGAGGGTTCTGCAGATCTTGTCCAAGAAAGGAAAAAGTGGAACGACTAAATCATCATCAGCAGAAGTTTGCTGTCAGGCCACTGAGCACATGCACTCTGCGCCCGCCCCCAAGTCCTGCATTTTGGGAGTATCAGAAAGTGAAACAAGGCTCCAATTAGTCCATCTGTGCCCACATACAACAATTCTAACATGATGTATCTTTAAACTACTGGGTTCCTTCTGTCATTTATTTACAGATGACAGTAAGGTGAGGTAAGAAAATCCCAGGCACAGAAAACACACCCTCTTTTTACTGAGGAACCAAGAAACACCAGACACTTTCCCAGATATCCAGACAGAAAGGACAGATTTTTAACAGATGCTTGACATAAGCAGAAGAGAAACATACACTTTCATAACACCTTCCCTGCTATCTACTCTCGTCTCATTCATCCATCTATACTTTTCAACAATTTACCAGAGAAGTTACTGCAGTTCCATGTGTCAGAACTTAACCTGCTTTTGGAAGGAGATACTGTTCTCATTATAAAAGTTACAAGGCACAACGATGATGAACAACAACAAAAAAAAAAGCACAGGTGGGTTGTTTTTTTTTTTTTTTTTTGCATTAGTTTATTTGCTTTTAAGGGTTTTGGAAAAGGCAGATTTTATTTCTCTTGGAAAGCCTGGCTATACCAAAAGCAGTGCAAGCACTACTATCTATTCTTCATTCCCTTCTGTGAAGGGGGTGTACTCAGATCCTCCTATCTTTACACGTTTGTGCCCCACTATGCCTTGGAAAGATGTAGAGTTCTTAGTTACACTGACTGACACACAATTTAAAATTTACAAATTTTAATTCAGAGTTATTTAATATCACTATTTGCAAAACACATTTTTCTTTTAAAACATTAATATGGTCTACACTGATTTCTCATTATAAAAATATAGTTTAGTGTATATTTAGTAAGTCCTGACCTACACTTTTTTTAAAATATTACATAGCTACAGAATCTATATACAGTTTCTTGGAGAACAAATAAAACATTATCATAATTCCTAATTTTAAAACCAAAAAAAGATAATTTTTTTTAAAAAATCAATTTATCCACCAATTACTTGCCTTTCAAGACTCTGGGAAGTAAACCTACCTATTGCTCCTTCAAAATCCTTTTCTCTTTGCAATGCAACACTCCATAACATCTCATACAGCAGTAAGACTCATCATCTATGACAAACACATGTGCATTTTGAAAGAAGTTAGGAGGCGTTGTTTACTGCACATCTGAACAAGCACCACACTCAATCCCAAATGTGATCGAAGTTCTGTTAGCCCTGACTTGAAGTAGTTCAATAAATACACCAATCACTAAAAAGAATAAAGTTAATAGCTTTGGTTATACCACTTACACTTTAGATCCTCAATGCCTGAATGCTGGTATCCAGAAAAAGTACATATATCATTTACACACTCTACCATATTCAGTATTTTTAATTCTCATAACAAAGCACATGGTTCTCACTGCAAGGATCTTGCAGAGTAGTGTCAAAAACATTAGCATTTGGGTCCCACACACTGAATTGAAGAAACTCTGTGTACTAGCTACCTACTGTTTCAGTAAACACCTATTTGATCTGTGAATTCCAAGTAATGTGCTATTTCAGGCTTGCAATTTACCAACAGCTTTCTTCTCTAATCTGAACAGGGGCTGGACCAGATAACATCCCCAGGTCCCTTTCAAACCTAAGTGACTTCACAATCAGACTAAAAAAGATAAAAAAAAAAAAAAAAAAAAGATTCAGATCCAGCCACATATATTCATCATCCCTGGAAGAGAGCATCCAGCAGGTCATACTAAGGACTGGGAACTGAATCTTGCTGCTGTACCAGAAGACATTCCACAAAAATTTCAGACCACTGCTCAAAGCCTACCAGGTTGTATGTCTCTACATAAACACATATAAAATACACACAAGCTCACATAGCAAACGAAATGTGGCGAGTAACCTGAGAAAAAGTTACAAAAGGAACAAAAGTACATGAACAAAGGACAAATACATCACCGGCATTATCCAGGCTGCTACAAATGCCACAACATGGGGTATTTCTGGCTAGGAACTGGATAAAGTATCTGGATATAAACCGCTCTCACTTTAATTTTTTTTTTTTTCAGGGACTAGGTTCTACTACAGATCAGGCAACTTCAATCCAGCAGAGTCTTCCTTGTCTACAAAAGGAGCTTCTCTGTTCCTACAGATAACAGGCCTGAACAATCCCTAGGACATTAACTAGATTGAAGAACTCAAGAACTCAAAAATAGCTACTTGTCCACAGGGAACAAAGAATGTAAATTAGAACGGCAATCAATTTACACTGGGAAGAATCATCAGTCAACTTTCGACACAAAGTGACAGGCCACTGCTGAATGGCAATACCAGGACTTACTACCTTTCCCTGCTGCTGCTGAATTCGCTGTTAAGGTCACCAAAATCAGAGGGTGGTTGATTGAAGGGTGGTAAAGAGCCATTCATGTTTTTCAACGCTCTTCAAGAGATTTTGTCATCAGTTATAAAAAAAAATCTTACTTGACCGGTACTCAGCAGTACGGGCTTTTACGCGTGGTGGTTCGGGTTTATTTCTTCTTGCGGCAGCTTTTACTCCAGATCGCCTAAACGGCATGGGCTGTGGGGAGCCGGCGCACAGCTTTGTTCCACAGCTCGCACGAACGGAAGGCGCAGCACCTTATTTCTCGCACCCTTCCCACGGCCGGCGCTGCCGCTGGCTGGGCCGGGGCGGCTCGGCACCCGGCCCGGCATTACCACACCGCGGGAGGAGGGAGGGAGGGCGGGAGGGCGGGCGGCAGCGCGGGCTGCCAGGCGGCTCGGCCCCGCCAGCGCCGTGCCGGCGGCCCCGGTGCCCACGCAGGAAACCGCCGGCCCCGCCGAGGGAGACCCTGCCCCGGCGCGGCGGCCACCCCACCACCCAGCCTCCCGCGGCCCGACCCCCGGCCCGGGGAGCGGCGGCCCCAGCGCCGCAGCGGGGCCGTGGGCGCTCCTCGGGAGAGACAGGCCGGGGCGGGAGAACCGCCGGCAGACGGGGAAGCGGCCGCGGGGGGTCCGCGCTCGAAGGCGCCGCCCGGGAGAGCGAGCCCAGGGTCGGGAGGGGGCGCGGACCCCACCGCGGGGAGAGGCAGCGCCCAGGCGCGGCGCTTCCCGGGGCGCCCCGACGCTCCCGCACGGCCGGGGCCTCCGTGGCGCGGTCCCGCACTCACCGGCGGTGGGGGCTCCTCATCCTCCGCGGCGGGAGGGGAAGGCGAAGGGAGGCGGAGGGGGCGGGGGGGGGCAGGGCGGGGGCCCGCTCCCCGCCGCGCTCCGCAGGCCGTTCCCGGGGCCCCGACGGCTCCGGTGTCGACGGCGCGGGGGGGGGGGGCGGGGGCGGGGGGGGGAAGGCGGGTGCGTGTGGGGCGGGGGAGGGCGCGGGCTCGGCGCGCAGGCTCCGTCCCGGCGGCGCGCGGGCGGGGCGGGGCGGAGCCGGATTCCAATCACTGCAAGCTCGGGGGGGCGTGCGGTGGTGAGCGCGCGCGCGCGCCCGCTCGCTCACTCAGCAGCAGCCCCTCCCTCCCTCCCTCCCTCCCTCCCTCGCGCGGCGGCCGTTGGCGCGGCGGGGCCCCCCCCCTCAGACCGGGGCCGGGCGGGATCCGCGCCCTGGGTGTGTGTCGTGTCGTCGTCCGTCCCCCACCCCCGGCGCCGCCCGCCTCCCCCGCCCGGCCATCAACACGTGCCGTGGGCGGCAGGGCTTGCGGGGCACCCCGGGAAAGTGTTGGCCGGGAGGAACTAGCCGGGCCTGCTTTGCCTTCCCCGCCTTCCCCCCCCCCCCCCCCCCCCCCCAAGTAGTCCCTCCTCGGGCGGGCTCGCAGGCCGCAGCCGGCCGCCGCCTCAGCGCGCTTGTCGTTAGGCTTCTCTTTGCCCGGCTCGGACGCCCGCCCGCTGCCCCTCAGCCCCGGGAGCGAGCCGTTTCCTCGCCTCGCCGCCGAGAAGGGGTACAAGGGGGTGGGGGAGCTCCTCTAGGAAAGGCCGGGAAGGTGTGAGGGCAAAAAGTGGCCGAGTAGGTGTCACGGAGGCGCTGCTGGCCCAGAAGAGGGATTGAGGCGTGGGAAGTAGCGAAGGCTGAACATGGCTGCAGGGCCGAGAGGCTCCATCCAGATGCTGGTGGAGTTGGTGCCGTGGAAAATGGACAAGCTGCCAGGATTCACAGAGTAGGTGGGGTGGAGAATAACCTTCGCAACTTTGATGTGCTTTAAAGGGGGCCTGTGCATGAGCTGGGGTGGGCAACGAGTGGCAGCAGCGTAAGGGAAAAATGAGGGCTTCAGATAGGCCTTTTAGCTTTGTGAGAAAATAATGTTGACACTGCAGTGCCATATGAGCGATAGAGTTCCATTGCAGAGGACAGAACTGTTTGTTTGCTTTGTTCCATTTCCTGTATTTCTAGGTAAATAAGCCCAGTTAGTTAGACTGGAATACATTATAACTTCTGCAATGAGTTGCTTTGCTCACTGATAAGGTTGCTGAAGGCCATCATTTGCATTGCGTTTCCAAGCTGATCATCATAAGGACAAATGAGCAAAGTAATAATCTGTCTGTCTTCAAGTGAGGTCTCCCAGCAGCAGTGCAGAAGGAGTTTTAATGACAGTATGTTGTACGACAGGGAGACTGCGGAGTTCCCACCTGGGCTGCTGTTTTTAAGCCTTCCCTCAACAAAGTGGCAGCAGTTGTGTTGTTGCCTTTGAGTTGTCCTGTCACTTGGTTATTCTATGTAAAGAACTTTGTACACAAAGCCAACTATAGGTGGAAATGCAGACGGATCATACAAACCTACTCAGTTTCCCTTTGTTGCAGACCAAAACACTCTTCAGACCTTCAGGACACACCAGCAATTGCTAGTGTCAGGATGCCTGCCCCGATAAACTGTTTCTTGCGAATAAGCAGTTGGGAAACAAGTTCATTTATCAGTGCCAAATATCCAGATGTGCATATATTGTAGGAAACATGGGCTTGCCTATTTTGTTGACCTCTCCACAGTCTAGCTCCATTCTTGCATTCTAGTGTCAGATAGGACTTGTAAATGTTGTGTACTCCACTCCAGAGTTGTCACCTCTGAATGTAAGATGAATGTAAGATGCACTAGCTCAGCAGTATCGCTCACATGCGTTATACCCATGGATCATTAGGCGAGTGCCTAGCTTGCATACTATCCCATATAGCAAAACAAAAGAGAAAATATAATTTCAAATCTGTCAACTTCACAGACTCCTTTAAAATGTAGGCAGTTAAAGGCACACCTAGAAAGTGTAGGTGGCCGGATACTACACTCATAGGCATTTAAAAATACAGGCCTTGTCCTACTAGACTTTTAGAGATTTTTTTCCAATGACCATCATCCAGAAAAATGTCAGTGTCCAAAACAAAGACAGCCTGCAAGAAAGACAAAATCACAGCTTTCATGCCAAGCAATACAGAACTTCTATGCTTATGTTTATAATTTCAAAGGAAAATATGAGTCTGCTGTTCTTCCACTATGTCTACTATCAGATTCTATCAACAGAATAGACACTCAATATGGAAGAAGAATGCAACATGCGTGTCTGTGCTTCCAACCAGAACCAAAGCTGTTAGAGCTAGCATCTCTTTAAGTAATAATGTCTGTGGTAATACAGTCCTGTGCTTTTCAGATGTTGGATACTGATTTAAATCCAGTATGCCTGAATTTAGCAAAAGCCACTAGCCTTGAAATTTACTTGATCCCTTGTGTGAAATGCATCAACTAATTTCATCCAATTCCTGGTGAGTAAATTTGCACATTGCAGAAATTGTCATCTCAGCTAGGTCTTTTCAAGACACACAAGCACTGAAGATACCTGTCAGGTCAGAAATAGCATCGCTGAGGATGAATTTTGCATTGCCATGGCCAATGTGCCTGTTCTCTGAATAAATGAGCACTGTGTAAATACTCATCTTAATCATAGAATAAAGTCAGTAAAAGTAAACTACATTATAATAACACTAGGGCTGCAGGAGACAGAACTGAATCTTGATCTAAAATGATGAATCATAACAACCTGAAGTAGTATTTAGATTGTGATGCATGTCTGATGAAACATCACATGGAAAGTACTGGTGTCTTTCAAAACAGTGCAGTACTTACAATATGTTTTCAATTTCATACAGGTATAAACTATCATTTTTGAAACATACAGATTTACCACAGAGCATGAAAACAGTGTGAGTAGATTAGAATTTCTTACTTGCAGTTATACAGCAGTCTATGTGAGAAGGGGATTGTTGACCTGTCCTGACATGTGAGATGTTCAACCTCATGATGGAAGAGTTTTCTTTATGCGCCATCCGAAGAACCCGATTGCATTTCCCCAAATGAAAGTAACTGTGAAAACTTAAACTAACTTAAACCATGAAGAATCAAACCTGATTTGTTTTGCTTTGTTTACCTTGCAGGTAGAGATACCTGTTTAAACCAGGAGATGAACACTTTAGGTGGTAGTCACTGAGAAAGACACAGGGTTCCAGTGATCAGTAACGGTTATCTCACCTGGTAAAGATTTTAGGAATCTGCAAAAACTCAGACACATTGGGTTTTCGTAATGTGAAGTATTTATTTTGTTAATTGAGCAACACCCAGAGACACTGTAGTCTGAATATATGAAAATAAACATGTGTTGATTTGACATTTGGCCAGGATGGGATGTGGAGGTCTAATGTGAAATACAGAAAAAGCACTTCAAGACTGACTGTCATCATGAAGAGAGCTGTATGAAAAAAAAAAAAATAATAATTAAATCATGGATACTCTTCCAGATGCTTTCTTTGTCACTTCCTCTGCAGGAATTTCTTGGTAGTTCTTGGAATCACTTGGGAACTGCAAATCTTAAATATCAAAAGATCTTAAAGAACAAAGAGGTATGAATAGGGAGAAGGTCATCCCTGCGATAGGACTTTATCTTTGTAGATCCTTCTTCCCTTCAGTCTCTGGAATTCATATGTCTTAAATCTGTGGTCCAAAAATATTTTTTCAAAACTGTTTGCAATTAGAGGAGTACTTCTCTGTTACCGTTACCAAAATAAATATTCTATGTTACATATTAAAAGAATATTACCCTTCAGCCAGGGACACAATTTTTTCACTTAAAATGACGTGAATTTGGCTTTGCCTTTTTTCAGAATTATTTTACTTGAAAGCACATTCTTTTGATTATGAATTTATTCAGCTGTTTGTTACTTGGAAATTTCATGGATTTTATTAAGTGTTTTAAATGCAAGCATAATTAATTCAATAAGGCAGGATCAAATCTATGAAGAAAGGTGCTTTTCAAAAATTTCTGCTAGTGAAGCACTGATGGTAAAATGGCAAAAGTATTCATCAGCACTGCAAGCCCCAGCCAACCTTCAGTCCAACAAGCGTGATGTGGAACTGGGCACAGTGCGGCACTGGAGAGCACTGTGGAGATGCTCCGGGGAATAACAGCTCGATGTGCAGAGCACAGGCACAAGGAAACAGGAAACCGTTCCCGCAGCTTGAGCACGTGGTGTGTTCCGGGGCCACTTCTGGGAATCTGCAGACCGGATTCTTCTTTAGCCTTGTGCAGGTGGATGGCGAGGAAGGACGTAGTGGCTCTACCTGTCATGTGCCTTAGGCAGCTGCTGCAGGATGTGAGCTGATCCCTCACTGAGCTGTGTAGTAGGGGACTCGATTGCATCTTGCAAAGGACTGTAGTAATGGGAGCACTTTGCCTGATGTTACAAGTGCTCTGGGTGACATTTTGCCAGTCAAGAACCAAACTTGCTGTTGCTTTTTCTGTTTCTTCTTCCTATACCTGGTTGAGCTGTATGTTTCTGTTTTTATTGAGTCCCAGGTACAAAAAGCATATTGCAGTCTTTTCACTAGGCCATTATAAACCCTGAGACAACTGTCCTTATAAATACAAAGAAACATTTAAAATTATTTCATTCTTCTTAAAGCTGGTGTTGGGTAGTAAGAACATTAGAAGTCTTACAGAGAAAAAGAAAATATTTGTAGACTCAGCAGAGGCTTAACCTGGGTGCTTCACTCACATCGTATTTTTTTGAGAATTAGCAATATGTTTCCCCCTAAATGCATGCAAATAAAATCCTGAAAGTCTTCAGTTGCTCTGAGAAGAATAAGTATTTAGTTAGACTCTAGTTCCAATTTAAAAATGTATATTCTGAATTAACTATCAATCTGCAGTGCTGAATGATCTACAAGGAAGTTTTAATTATTAGCTTCTCTCTGAGAATGAGTATATCTAAGATATGTTTGTGCTCCTCCACCTTTTATTATAGGAGGTATTTGTAAGCTTCTTTCACAGGTTTGAATAATCCTTAGATCCAAAACCACACTGTATTAACATTTCTCCTACTGATGCTGAGGCTTCATTGCCTTAGGCGTCTGTAACAAAAAATTCACTTCTTGGTAACGATCCTTTTCAACAACAGAAACTGAACCAATACTGAAAGAGGAAATGGTTTTTAAACCTGCTGTTAAACAAGGAGCATACTTTTCAATACAGAAAACTTCCATCTTAGAGTGTATAACATCTTTGCCCTCAAGAAGAGTGGATTCAAGTGGATGTGATTCTGGCAGCTATAGTGGGTTGTGTAGAGATTTACGAAATTGGACATTTATGAGACTGAAAATGCTGTGTTCTTCCAAGCTTGTTAGAATGAAACAGATCTGAATCCTATACAAAATAAATGAACCAAATAGTTTCAGTTAATCAAATCTTTTTTTTTTTTTTTTCTCAACCTAAATGTATTTAACCATGAATACACTGCTGTTAAATAAGAACAAATGCAGCAAAACACTCTCATTCTCTTTTTTTTTTTTTCATATTCTAGCAAAACTGAAACAATACAGGTCTACTAAGTTAACAGTAAGAAAAGGATATGCTTGTATTTCAGTCACAGCAGTCAGCTAGTATGTCTGAAAATATGTAATGAAGTTAAAGGCATACCAATAAAGCTTTTCTCCTTAGTCTGTAAGATACTTGCATATGTACTGGAACTTGAACAAGTTCAAGAAACACAACTAAAAGCAAATCCTGACAAATAGCCTATAACTTCCTTTGCTTCCAATGAGAAATTGGCCTGTGTCTGCAGATCTTGGAATTTGGCAGCTATACCTAATTCAGTTTAAACTCCCACTGGCATCAACAAAAAATTACCTGATTAGGGATGCAGGATTGGATCTAAGATAATAGCATATTAAAATTCCACTGCAAATTCAAAAGCTACTAATGAAAATTAAATCCCCAAAATATAAAATGTTCAGAGCCCATGAACAGTTTTCTGTGTACATACTCAAAATGCTAAACAATAGAAGCTGTTGCATGTGTGACCATCAGGAAACACAGCTGTGCTTCTTTGTGTTACAATTAATTACTTCCGTTGTATATAAAATTGAAAGTATTGGTACTCTGGGGCGGAAAAAGGATATCCTGATACACTGCTTCTATTTCCTTACCAAGGCCTATTACTGAATGTTTCACCATTAATTCAGTTACAATGAATTATCCTGTGATGAATAAAGGAAGGGTAGATTGAGTGGTTAATTGTTATGCTAAAAGCTACTTTTTCTTTGTATTTTCACTCTCCTACATTTTAAACTCATTTTACTATTTTCTCATGTGCTCTCTTTGATAGCAACTTTTAAGTAGTTGCACTTAATAATGAAAGTCTAAAATAAATGATGACTTAACTATCCTCTGACTTAAAGATTGTTCTTGTTTTGTTTTGTTTTTATGTTACGAGAGCAGAGAAAACAGAATACTTTGTCACAGTCCTTTAAGGGAATGAGTAAAGTTTTCTCAGCTTAAGTATTTGTGGCCAGGTTCCCTGAAGCTGGCACACAGAAATGTAATTTTTACCTTTCTGTGCCAGTGAATTTCCCTAAGCTGGAGGGGGATGAGGATTCTTACCCACAGTTAGGGAGGAGTAATAACAGCCCAGCATTTCTCTGTTATGCATTCCTCATTTTTTTTTTTTTGTGAGAATTGCATAGGAGCAAAAACTGTTTGAGATTGCACAAAATTGTGCAAATCTGGACCCTAAGGATATACCCTGCCCCTAGACTTTAATACTGCTTTTAACAGTGACTCTTTCTTTTTAGAGAACTTTGAACAGAGAGCAGCTTCTGTGACTGCTTAGGAAATCAGTGAAGTCTCCAACAACCACCAGCCATGTAAGTCTATAAAAGGTAGATAATATGTAATGTATTTGCTACTCAGAATTTAATCTCTCAGGATGCTCCTCCTAAGCTAAAAGTCTGTGGTGGTTGCATGCATAGGTGTAATTAACACCACTAGACTGTTTACAATCCATTATAAAATGTGTAACACAAAGCTGAGTAAGTGACGTGGGGGAAAACATGGAGTCCTTCAACGTGAGCACAAATAAATTCTGCCAAATGAATCGAAATCTTTGCAGATTTGAATTCAGTTTAGTTGGTATCATAACAAAGTAACGGAAGAACGGCAACTCAGAAAAGTTCCCATTCCAGAAACTGCTTTACATAATACAGATGGCAGAAAATCATCATCCACATAAAATACAGCCCTATTCTCCTTTTGCTGCAGCAGCTGGCACTGGGAATACAGTCTCATAACAACACAGTTTAGATTCAGGTATGCTAAATTTGATGCAATAGCTAGAACCCAAATCTCTCTGGCTAGCACTATCCCATTTCTTCCAAGGATTTTTTTGCCAGAAGTATGTGCAGTGTAGCATAGATGCTATGTAGCATACATGCAGTAAAGCAGAAACTTCCAATTAGTGTCATATATATTGTGTATTCACAATAAATCTCAGGAAATCTGTTACTTCCAGGATGCAGTAGGCTGACTGAATACACTCACCCTAGCAGCACACCACATTGTTGCACAGCTTACAAGCATGTGTAACAGTAACTCTGGTCGGGCTTCCACATGTGCAGAAATCATAGGGAAATTTATGATGTCCTCAGAATCAGTACAGGGAAAAACTTCCAGGAGGAAAAAGAAAATGGGTCAGGGAATGTGCAGGCCCGCCAGTGGCATTGGGTACTGCAGGTGAACATTTGGTTGTAGAAGAATATATATTTGGTCTTTGTTTATAATGCATAAGTAAAATGTTTATTCCTGAATTAATATTTTTTATATTAAGCCAGATTTAGGAAAGTGTGCCCTTCTTTCTGCTCCCACATCTCCTGTCCTATCAGAAGTCTAGAGATGTTACATCATACAGCACAAATACCTAACTGATAACAAAACCCAGGTCTCTAGGTGCACTTAGTTTAATGCATTATTATTATACTTTGTGTAGTAAATGGACTATATGACAGCAATTTAGGCTCAAATACTGCAGCTATGAAACACATCCTCTTAAAAGAAATCAGAGCCCGAGTGTTTTAATCCACATACATGTTCCATACATGCATGCAGGAATGCTTGCATTCATCAACATTAAGATTTCTTTAAATCAAACTAAGCCTTGATCCCAACATTCTTTTCCAGTCTGTGTACCATTAGATCTTAAAATAATTAAAATCCTGTAAATCATTCTTTTGTTCTGAAATGAGATCCTTAATTATGGCTACAGATATTTATTAAGCTTCCTAAAAGTCAAAAGTATCCTCTTTAATGAACCATAAGAATAAAACATTCTAGAAGAACAGCAGGTTTCCTAGCTTTCTTGTAGCAAGCAATATTCATTCCACAAGCACTGGAAGGACCATCACCTTTATTCAATTCAAAGTCATATTTTTATCTCTATCTTCTAATTGAAAGAAAAATAAATTATTAATTCAGTTTTAGAAAGGCCTCAACTATTTTTCAGTAACAGTACACATAATAAAACTAAGCAGAAGCAGAAGAATTTCCATAACATCCTTGTCATTATTGAAAATGATCTGAATTCTAAAGTAGAAAGATTAGAAAATACTTGTGTAGTGCAGGCAGATTTATTAATGATACTTTATGCATACTAATTTATTATTCCCTAAGAGTTAAAATCTAGAAACTCTTAAAGGAAAAACATGTTTTGTTCAAAAGTTTAGCTTCGTTCAAAAAAAATTCATTCTGCTTGTTCTTATTACACAGAAAAGTCTAGTGACTCAGCCTGACAGTCCTTATTAGTACAACACACGCTTGTTACTGTTTTCTTTTGATGTAATCTTCCTGAGAGGAGGAGGAACTGTACTTTTAACAGCTATCTAAGGGCATGTTTTATAGGCATACAGCGCAGAATTTATGCCTGAATATAATCTGAATCTCATCCATAACGCTCTGATTTGGCTAGGAGAACAAAGCATTTCATTGTGTATTCAATAATGGTTTCAGCAATCTTATTCACACATTCCTTCCTTTCTCAATCAACAGAAACTGTGTGAATTTAAGATTCATTAAGGGGGGGGGGGGGGGGGGGGGGGCGACACAATACCAAAGCCTATAGTTTTGAAATCACTATTTTCTTCAGAGCAAATCATAATCTCTCTTCTATTGAGAATCTCTTAATGCAACACTTGTCAAGCTATTTTGCACCATATCATTTTCTAATGAACTTTATTCACTTTTTTCACCACATTAGGTGGCACAGTGCTATGCTTGTGCCCCTATTCCTTCCAACAGCTGACCTCTCCAAGGATCACAGTGCACAGTGTAGGAACCACTGTTCTGTGCAAAGGTTAAAGGTCAGAACAGACAGTCCAAAAAACAGCCATTTTGAACTGACAGAAAACTGCATATATTCTGTTAATTCTTTTGAACTGTGTTTTCCTTATGCACACTGTAAACAGAAATTAGGGCTGTAAAAAAAAAATCAAAGTGCACGAAGTTGTGATTCCTGATGCTGTACTTTGTAATGCCATCTGAAGCCAAGTCTGTCCATTTATAATCTAACTTCTTAATTAGGTTTAATATAATTAGTTGTATCTTTAAGAATCCTGCATTCCTGAGGGGTGTGCATTAGGAATGCACAAAATGGCTGTTTTTATAAACCACACTGTTACATGAAGATATCTTTTCATTTGGCAGTATTTCTTGGCACTAGAGCCCAGTGAGGACATTTAAAACATTTTGTGTATTATTTAAAGTCACTTCTGCTAAGAAATGGAAGAACACCCACCTGAACTTATGCAATCAAACTTTGTTCTCAGATGCATCGATGTAACCTAAGACAGACTTTACCCATTCCCTGTAAAGTTACTATAAACAGTATTTGTTGACACAATAAGTCTGTGACTACACACGTCTTGCTAAGTTACAACATGTACAGCTAGTACACTACATCTTTTAAGCATACTAACATTTGTTTGTTTAAAACAGCATTATTTGGTTAATAAAACATTCAAGATTGATGTACAATAAAGTTGAAACCAATACTTTTAATTTTTATTTTCAGGTCTGAAGTAGAGAGTACAAGCTTATGTATGCTTTCTTATCAGTATTACATGGCTGAAAGCTGTCAGCTGTTCACATGCCATATTAATAAATAGGCCCCAATCATAAAGCTTTAACTGTATTTGTACATTGCTTTTATTACCAGACTGTTTTATTCCTGTTGGCACAGATAATCCATGCAAAGTAGTTACTCACACCTCATAAACCACACAACATTCTTTTTCTGAAATAACTAGGAACTTAGGAAAAAATATATATCTAAAAGCAAGGGCACTTGTGGCATCAAGTCAACATGTCAATATATTATAAAATCTAGATTTCTAATATGATCACTGCAGGCAAGAAATCACTCAGTTTCAAATTCTGATGTTTATAAATACTAAACAAATTAATACCTGCTACCAGGAGACAAGTATTGCAAATAAACATTAGTGTGCCCAGCATTAGACACTAGTGAGTGTGTGCAGTGCTGTGGACATTCACATTATTAAACATAAATAAAAATAATCTTTAACAAAACATTTCACCCAAAGTACTGACCACTGAAGGACCAAAGCAAAATGTTTTTCCTTGTTTTGAATTGATTTGAGAAATGTGTAATGTGTAAATCCAATATAGTAAAAACTAACTTCTAAAAAAAGAAGTCATGAGTGTTTTTTTGCCAGATAATAAAAACAGTCAGCTTTGGAAACATTTAATTTACCCTGCTCTGCAAAAAGAACAGAAAAGAAGAGAAAAAGCATTACGATAATTTTTTAAGCCTTTGACTTGAAAAGTTATTGAACACTTTTTAATTAAAGACTGGTCTTTTTATTTGATCATTCAGAGGTACAGTATCTTTGTCTTATTATGTAAAACTCCACGTTAATTAGAATGAAAAGAAATATTTAGAGGAACTTGGGACTTGTCCCAGGCATCTATTACAAGACATAAAACATAAACAAGTACACATTATTCATCTTGCACATTTTTGTACAGCGTTTATGTTCAGTGATAATTTTGAAAGGCCCTATTCTGAATTATATATATCTCTATGCATCTTCCCCCCGTTCATATCACAAAGGTGACATGTAGCAGAAGAGTATCAGCAGTTACGGAGGTATTCTACCCCTGTGAAAGTTAAAATACTACATTATTATTCACAAATTTCTGGTTCAGATATGTGCAAAAATTGTATCTTCGTACAGATATCAAGGGTGGGTAAGTGGATTCCCTATTTTTGGACCACATTATGAAGCAGCACAAGTCAAAGCAGGAAATTTATTACATGATCATCCTCAGGGCATCTCTGTTCTTCATTCAGAGATATCACTGTACCTCCTATAGTGATATGTAAACTAGCTTTAATCTCACTTGCTCAGACACCAGCTAGAGTCAGGGCATGTGTTACAGTGCAGGTTATCTGCTCAAGGAAATTTTCAGGACTCTCTCAAGTTAGTACGGCTCCCACTGAAAAGGAAATTTTCAGGACTCTCTCAAGCTAGTACAGCTCCCACTGTAGACCGTGCTGCTGCATTTTCACTGTTGCCACTCCGCAAGCTAGCTCAGCTATGCTTACATACATTGCATCACCTTTCTGCATTACTGACTTCAAATTTACTAGATTGGATCCTGTATCCCCCTTGCTCACCCCTTCTATAAATATTCATACTTTCTGGACTACTGTGAGCTGCTTGTACCCTAATTTCTTGCTTCGAGCCCTTTCCCTGGCTAGTGAGCCATCCTGGCTATTCCCCCCTTCCCCCTCTGCTCCACCCCAACTATCTAACATGTCAACTTAGTGAAACTGGCCTTACCTAACTATTCTCCCTCCTCTGACCCCAGCTTCTGTAAGGGCTTCCTGACTTCTCAATGCCTCATCTTTTCACACTCCACCAGAGGCCCCCAGAGCTCCTGCATTCTGGCTGCTGCAGGTGCTCTCCCTTCTCTGATCCAAGCCTCCCTTCCCCTGCCCACACTGAGACCCCTGTCTCCCACTCCCCTGTCCACCCCAGCAAGGTGGAGTTGGGCCATTTCAGCTGGCAATTTGGGCTCCCCCTGTGAACGGGAAGAAGAGACAGCCCCAGCCATGCTGCCTACCACCATCTCTTCACAGACTGTACCCCTGCCCAAGCTGCAGCCCTCCATCTCTGGCCATCTCCTAAAATGCTTTATCCTTCACACTGCCAGTGGAGAGGGAGCTTTTAAGGATGCTGAGGTGGGAAGGCAGAGTGAGACACACATGTACACACATGCAGACTAGAGGCAAAAGACTTCATTAAATTCTCCTGAGGCATTGGGATATGCCCTAGCATTTTGTGTCCTCCCAAGGAGTCTGACTCCCTGTTTTGATGTTGACAGTAAGAGACTAGTCCCAGTCAGTGGGTGACACAGAAATCTGCCTAAAGAATCTCTTCAATGCAGTCTTAATATATAATATGCTGATATGAATTCTCTTAAATAAGAGAGAATAATAAACACCATTTTGCTGAATGACATTCAAAAATTAAAAGGAAATCTAAAATTGTCTCACTGTTATGAAAAGCTATTTAATGAAGTCAAATATGAGGGAAAAAATATTTAACTTGCATGATTACAATTTATTCCTCTAGAGAATATTGTGAGACGGATCTTTGGATTTTGTAATCAATGGAACCATATTCACACCAGCCCAGCACCAACTGAAAACACAAAATGTGCTTGCTATAGGAAAAAAAAGGCTTTGCATATAATGTACTAGTGTTTTAGAGTAATTCATGCATACAAAAATCTGATGCTGTAGCACTCAGATCAGATCACTGCTAAGATCAGTGAGAACTAAGATACCTACTGAATAAATACAGGTCATATATGTTAAAACTGCCACAGGCAGTTCAGGTTGTTATTTTTGTCCAAGATGCGGACTGCCTGCAGCTAACTGAATTCTCATATTAGAACTCCAAATTTCTTTTATTCCTCCCCTAAGCTTTAAGTAGTTTTTCATCCCTGAAAAGACACACCAATTTTCTTAAAATGGGCATTATGCGTAGGAGGGAAAAAATGGACAATGCTACATAATTTCTTGTTACTCAAAACACAAGGTGAAATAGGGTGCAGAATGTGACCCACAGAGTGCATCCTCGGTCTCAGAAATACTAATTCGAAACTGTCAGTACTGCAAGCTGTCAACACACACATAGTTCTCACTTAAACAAATCAGTAAAACTTGAATAGTGATCAGACTTTCCATTTTAACTCTATTTCTGTCAGACAGAACTGCTGTCTCCGATACAAAAGTCAGTGATATTTTAAAATTCAAAATTATTATCAGTACTACAAGTATTGCTCTTTTGAAAAATAAAAAAAGTTTTATAAATAACTGTTTGAACAACTTGAAAGTTGTTCTTAAAACATTAGAAACGATGACTGTATGGTTATCCTAATCATTGCAGCCTATCTAGTGTTTTACAATGGCCAATACTACTACAATTCAGAATGTGTTGCATTTAAACTAACAAAAGTAATAATGAGTATGTGCCTGTGATGTTATGCTGCCTGATGAATTTTTAATCAATGTTAATTTACCATAGCTAAAAAAAAAGATGTCGTTTTCCTAACTATATGTGATAGAGTAGGGAAGTTTTGCAAGCTATCTCCCACTTCCTAGCTGTGCTAGATGTATGTGTGTCTTCTGTGTTCACCAATGTGAAGGTCCAGATGTAGATTTCTACCTCCCACTGATATCAGTGGGAATTAGAAACTAAAGCAACTTTGAATATTTTTTCCACAAGAGAAAAGGAAAACTGGTTTTGAATTAAAAACTGGCCTTTCTAGCCAGCTCTATTCCATTCAAAGAAAGCACTTTGGAGAAAGTCAGTTGTCATTTTCCATTATGATTTGAAAGTGAACTAATTTACTGTGTACGTATAAGCCAAATGCACTATCATAGTTGACCCAGCATGCTTTTCTCAATCTTACTGGGTTATGAAAGGCATTATTCTGTTTCCACTTAATTTCAAACTAAGTTAGGGATTGTGTCCTAGGCTTCCCAACAACATATGGATTCAAGGCAGATTTCTTATTTGGAAAGAATCTAAAATATTTGATGCTATGAGGTAGCACCACAACATAACGGAATAGCACTCACTTTCCATAGAGGAAACCGTGATCTATTTATTGCCCTTTGAAAGCTATGGCCTTTGGTTCTACAGATAATTGTACATGTGGCACGTACTCATTCTTGTTGTGAAAGAAAATGACTTACTACAAAAGGACTTTTCCAGTTGTTCTTAAACACTAGTGTGTGGTCTAAGCAGTAAATCTGCTGTGGGTAGTTAATTTGAAATTGTGTTTGTGCATTAATTTTTATATTACAGTTTTTAGTTAATTTCAATATTTCCCCCCAACCGTTGATCTAATAATGGTTTGTTTGGTTTTGACTGTTCATTCAGTAGGGTTTTGTATGAACTTTGTAAAAGCATGGTGTGCATTTACGAAAGAGAAACTTCCATTAAGTAACTTCAGAAGTATCAACTTCCTGGCTTTTACCAAGAGAAATACTAGCCATGGTTATCAACTTTATAAACTACCCAGTTAGTCATCTGTTTTTCCCCAGCATTACTGACTGCCAACTCTTCTTTTAAACATTGATGGCATGGGCATGCTTCTTGCACAGTGGCTTGTCCTTCTTGGAGTAGAATGGCTGACCTTCCAAATTCACATGGCATACCTAGAATTAATAATAAATACAATCAGGAATAATTAAAAAAAAAAAAAGAGGGAAAGACATGATTATCAATTTCTACCATATCTCTCTTCTGCCCACACATTTATTTGGCAGAAGTGCCTCAGATTTCCTGGATCAAAGTGTGTGCCTTGGTGGATTTCCTCCTCCATGTTTAAGTTAGGCTGTGGTTTGCATCAGCTCCCCTCTCTGTACTTTCCTGCCACCACTACCCACCAAGTTCACTTGTTTCCATGTGAGTACATGATCCCCTAGGCAGCTTTGAGATGTCCCAACAGGGCTTGTGTAGACTATCAAAGGATAGTGGCACACTCGAGCACATGCAGCTAGCTCAGACTTTAAGACCTAGATTCTGATCCTTTAATGGATGATTTTACAAAAGCTCTGGTTAGGTGCCATGGTCCCAAGGGTACCATCCTTCCATGGTACCATTAGATACTCATTCCTATTATTACTTTGTCTTGGTATGAGTGCTTACATGATCAAGGACTGACTCATTCAGACAGCCAGTATAATTGAAAACTACTTATTTATTTTTACCAGGTTGTTCTTCAACCAATAGAGTTCTCTGCCTGGCTGCATAAGGGCCAGTGTTGACATAACAAAGCATGTGAGAATGCATGGCTGAGGCAGGGCAGCCCACGTTTAGATGAGCTTAAACTGCTCTGGAATTGTACAGAAATCTACGCAGGGTAGTGCAGCACCACTTGCAAGGTCAGAGTTGACTAGAACAACCTAAGGAAAGCAACACATCAGAATCTAGAAATAAGAGTAAGTGTTGTCCCTAATGCTTATAGCAGGCTTAAGACCAGTGAGTGATAATATCAGTGATGTGCTACTGCAAGTGGAAGGAAAATCACATGAAGGGATATGAGGATAGCACATTAGAAATTAAGTCGTGTTTATTTGCATTTGACTTAATCCACTGAAAGAAAGAAAGTTAACTCCTAACAAAAAATGCTGTGAGAACTGCATCACCTCCACAGAAAATTGGGTTGCTAATTTAAATAAATACATAAGAATGTAGTTAAATGAACAAGCAAAAAAAGAACATTAAATATACAGAGAAAGTGTCTTTTCTAAGTGATTAATAGCTGTTTGTGAGGGAAACTTGCTGTCTTAGTATTCCTTTCTATGTTAAAATTTCAAAACCACTTCAGTTTTCACAGGACACTTTTGTGTCACTCAATTCCATGTACCCTTGAAAGACCAGTACCTAGTAGCTTTGGAAACTTATACAAATTTCTATACTTTCTACTCTTCAACCTAAATTTTAGAGTTCAACAAACATCAGAAATTGTCACTGTCTTTTTTGGTATGGCCAACATACTACTTTTAGCTAATTAAAGGTTCTAGATATTCTTACCTTAGGAATAATATGTTGTAGAGCAGCACAGCTGTACTAGAACCATATGAGAAGTACTGTTTATCACATGGATTTTACTGCTTCGTGTGCAAAGAGGGAGAATATGGCCACACTATATAGCTGTACACACACCACAGATTGATGAGTTTCACCAACTTCTATGCTAATTACTATTCATTCTCTCTAAACAGACTCTTTTGCAAGTTTCAACAAGCATTGTGCATGGAAATACAAACTGCACTGCTTTGTAAGATTATGACTATACCGTTCAGTATGGTGTTAATTTACTTTAAATCCTGCTTTATCTTTATTTGGTAAACACTGGAAAGAAAAACAGCAATAGTGGTATGTATTACCATATGTACTCTCTAAAACTGTTTTATTAGAAAGCAGTCGTGATGGTCAAATTTAATAATTCTAGTAAAAGTTTATGGAGGAGGAGATAAAAGACTCCCATCCTTCTCTATCTGCAAGTAAAAAATTAAGTTCAGTTCCTCTGCATCCTTAGGCATATGTTAGTCATTCCTGCTTTCAGCTCTTCTGATGTTACTTCACAGTTTATGAGTATAAAGAAATGATATACTATTTGGTATAGAACCTACAGCACAAATGAAGCAGGTATCATGCCAAGTGTGTCCAAGAGCTTCAATGAATTTATCTCCAGCTTCAACAGGAAAATCACAGCCATGGCATTTTGTGCTGAACAAAGCAATATAATCTAAAATAAAACAAAAAGAAAACTTAGAACAGACTCTTAACATAATTGTATTAAATCCAAGAAAAATAGAAAGTTTCCACAGGATGAATTTCTGGATTGTTTTTGCTCCGTTTCCTACTACATTCAATGAAACACTCACACTGAAATTGCTTCTTTTCTTTCATTATTTAAATACTAAGTCAGTGCAAAACCCCATATCAGCACAACTGTTGTCATCACTGACACAGAAAACAAACAAAAAATTAACGAAATTTTAAGTTATGTATCTCAGTTTTAAATTAGCTTTAATGTGTATGGAAGCTATTCATAAGGACAAAAATGGTCATACAGAACACAATCTAATGGCCAGTGAGTGTTACCTTAAGGGTGGTACAGAAGCATAGTTTTAAGTTTCCGTGACAGGATTTATGTTCTCTCTGCATTAAGAGAGAATATTACGGAAACCTCATACTGGCTGGTTAATACATCTTTAGTTTGAATATCAAGTGCAATTTGGAAAGACTTGACACTGAAAAGGATTAGCAGAAATTCTAAAGGTATATGGAATTTCTGAGACTCATTAGAGGTTATGGCAAAGCCTCCAATTTTAAAGGGTAGGTGCCAGGTCAGTCATGCTGTACAGTTTTCATTCTTCATTAACAGTTACTCTGATTTGTAAAATTTGATTTGCGCAACCATAAGGAAGGAACCTCCAGAGAGGAGTAAGCTAGAAAGAAGTTCATTAAATGGACAAGGCAGGGCTTACAGAGGGAATACCACTTAAACCTTAACCTGCTTCCTGACCATGTCAGGTAACTCACTTGCATGGCAAGCATCATTTATTAAAGCATATTACCCTTTCCATGGTTTGGGAAAACATGGCCTTTTCCTTTCTTAGTTGGCAAGAAGGAGTTCATTTGTCGCAGCACTCAGAAAACAGAACCTGCACTACCATGTGCTGCACATCTGAGCAGAGTCATCTTTTCATGTATGTTGGTTGATCAGTTTTAGGGTGAGGTAGCAGTATCAGAGGTCATAATTCAAGCAACTTAGTAAAGAGAATGTGGGCAGCAACCCAGGCATTCTGTACAGAAGCACCACCAGAATTCTAAAAGAAGAACTTTTCACCCCATAATGTTCAGATTTCTAGTGAGGGACAGGGAAAAAAATGTGTAGAGAGAGAAATGGAAGGTAAGTGTCATAATACATAAGGGAGAGAAATTAGGTAAGCCACTCTGGACATAGAGGCAAAAGAGGCTCTGCCAGCCTATTATAAAGTGGAGAAACTGGTATATGTTGTATACTTGTATATGGAGAAAGTGGAAACAAAATCCATTCTGGATGGGTAACTGATTTTATTTTGTTCAACAGCCACTTTATTCTTGTGTTGCTTCCATACAACATGAAGCACATGATTATTGAGCAGAGCTGTCTGGTTTGCCATACCTTTCTCACAGTAAGGTTCCCCATCTTCCATGTGAAAGAGGCTATTCCCAAACGGCATCTTACAAGCAGCACAGACAAAGCAACTTGTGTGCCAAGTCTTTCTTAGGGCATGCATCACTTCCTGCAAAACAAACAAACAAACAAAAATCTCCAGCAGAACAGCATGCCTTGCAACTACCTACTGGAGAACAAACACAAGGCCTTCTCTATCAGCCAATTCTCCTCCTCAAAAGAAGTATGAGAGAAATTGGGCTCCTTTGGAAAGAGGGAGGAAATAGGACTGCAAGCTTTCTAGAACAATGTATTTGCCAAAATGAAACAACATTGTTCAGCTAGCTGTTTGTATCAACATGCCCAGTCACTGTTGCAGGAGAGATTCTGCAGAAAGATTCTGATTATTTTCTCCTTTGTTTTGACACAACTAGTAGGAACTCTTCAATGCAAGAGTATGATTTGTTAAAAAAATTTTAAAGAGTAATTTCTCTCTGAGACCAAGAAATGCATGCAGGGGATAAGTGATGTAGGTCTGATTTCAGACAGTAATTATGTATTAATTTCTTTAAACTTCTCACGAGAACACTTCACAAACTAATGTGAAAATCTTAAAAAAAAAAAATATTAGATTTTAACTTATGTGATTACTGAAAATGAGTCTGCATGTCTGTTCCTAGGCCATGTGTTCATCAAAAAACCCCAAATTCTGTGCAACTGACGTTCTCTTGAACTGAGTATCCAGATTTTATCAGCTTCTTCCTTCTATCCAGTATGGAGCAACCTCTATTACTGCTTCATGCTTATCTTGTCATACAGAAGATCTCCAAGTCCAAAAGCTGCTATACTGAGCTCCGATGCATGGTTACCTGCTAATTTGTCAATCTTCCTCGTGCCCAAGACAATATTCGACAGTGCATCTCTGTCAAACAGTCCAGATTTCAATGGGCCAGCTGCATGACTGGTGTAAATTAATTTAACGTTGGTGAAACAGCATTGATTTACACCACCTGAGATGCTAGATCCTATTTTATGTTGCTTCCAATTATATACATACACTCTGATTCTCTTTTAAAGATTATTTTTTATCTCCATTGACTGTGACTAAAGGGATTGAAGCCCTCTTCCATGCTTTCAATCCAGTGAATAGAGAAAATACTCTATGTTTTCCATATATCTCATTAGAGAATCACCATTTGAGATTCATGAACTTCTGTTACTGTTTGCAAAACAACTATCATTGATAAATAGGTTTAGATCCATTTATGAACCTCACTGAACTAGGAAGCAAAAACAGATTGAGAAATCTTATTAATATAAATAGAGGCAGCTGGCATCTTTACTGTTTTCCTGGTGAAAATCCATAATGGGGAACATTAATTAGGTAAGTTAAGTCAGTACTCTGCTGTAAAATTATTCCTGCTGCAGTAGCTAACAAGACTTGGTTGGATCCAGAGCTTCACCATAGATGCCTGATGCTGCCATCCCTAATTGGCAACTGCAGAGAAAAGCATCTAGTCTGTCAATGCCAACATTTAGACAGATGTCAAAAGGTGACAGCTAAGCAATGAAAAAAGTGGGGTACTCCTTGCTTCCTCATCTAAGAGAATCATGTCATATATTCACTATGACTGCATGCATAAATACACTGCTAAAATTATCTTACGGTATTCCGTTGTCACCATCTAAGGTATACATAAAGCAAATTTACTTGTACCTAAGCATGAGTACACTAAGACAAAAGTGGCATCTATTTTTGCCTTTCTGGAATTCAGATCTTTACATTTATTCTGTATTTTCTTAACTATAAGAAGTCAACAGAATTCCTCTTGGCAGCTGTGTTGCTAGCTGCCAGTGAGGTGTAGCAAGAGCAATGGGCCTCTTTCCATGATCACTGACTTCTCCACTGAAATTTAGACTAAGTCCTGTATGAGAAAAAAAAAAAAAAAAGACAAACAGTTCAAGCCTCTTACTATAAATATAAGGAAAAGATAGATAAAAGTAACATAGTGTATCAGATAGCAAAGAACTTTCCAGAAAGTGTTATTTATTTTACACTCGGACAGATGGTACTTGGGTTACATATTCTGCCTGTAACTTAAGGTACAGAAATATCTAGGACTTCAGATAGATAAAAATTATTTTGACAGAAAATGTTGGACAAGATGATCCTTGAGGTCCCTTCCAACTTGGTATTCTATGACTATGATTATAAAATAATATGTTTCTCATTCTGAAATAATTAACAGGCTCGGAAATTATTATTAAAAAAGGGGAAACAATTAAATATCTACACTCACTGATTACAGTCTACACTATTTCACTATTTCAGTGAACCATACCGTTGGAGAAAGGGTTAAGCACATTCTCTTACCCCCATGATCTTAGTGTGGCATCTGGCACAGGTTGGTGCAAAGAACTGTTCATAGCAGCGCTCACAGTACACACTGTTCTGCTCTTCCACAAAGCACATATCAGCCAAGGATGTCTTGCAGTAAGCACAATTGAATTCTTCTGGGTGCCAAGAGCGACCCATGGCTACTAGGAAAGGACCCCTGTAAACAATCGTAATTATCTTATTTGTATTGAAAAAAGATTGACTGACCCTGATTACAAATGTGCTCTGTTAGACACTGCATACATGTATAACAGGCATTCTACTTGAACCATGAAGGTGCATATTAAATTAAGAACCAGAAGCCTGAAGAGAAGTGGTCTTTTTCAAGATCATTACTCAAAGACTTTGCCAATTGGTTAAAATATTTCATTATTGTTTAGTCATATACATTGGATTTACAGACAACTTTGAAAAATCATCAGCTGTTTTCATATCTGCAGTTATAAGTGGTCTTTGTAAACAGATGCAAAGACAACAGGAAAAGGCCAAGGGCTGTAACACAGAAGATAATGCTACTATTTGAAAGCGTAAAAAAGCAGGCAAATTTCCAAACCTACACACTCACACCCTACCATAGCTCCTAAAGTCTCCTGCCTTCTTTTCATCTGAGAGAGCACTGCATGTGGCATGTTCTAGAAATGTCAGACTATCAGATGACAGCTTGCTGTTTGATTATATAGAAGGCACATTAAATTAGTTTTAGATTAGATATTGTGATTATTACTGGAGTCTTTCCATTTCAGAATATATAAAGGGCAATAAACAGCAGTTCCACATCACCAAACTAGCTCCTTTTAGTGGGGGAGACTGTCATTAAATCTGGATTACTTAAGGCTGGTTAGCAGTCCACAGGGTAACAGTGGGCACCAGTCCAGCGGAGTGAATTGGGAGAGAAGGGAGAGGCATGCTATGAATCACTGGTAATAGAGTGTAGGCATTATCTTTCTCCAGACACAAAAGCAACAATTAAATTTGGCTGCTGTTCCAAAATGATGTCTCGTTCCTTTTCTCTCCATAATCCTCCCCCCCGCCCCCAACTCCCCCAATGAAGTTGTATGTACCTCCTTAAAGGGGTACCTTAGGACCAGAAACTTGTTTAAAAAACAAACAGTGATTTGCCACAGCATCCAAGAAACAAACAATTAGCATGTATAACTTTGTAGTGATAAAAAGCGAACCACATAATAGCAAAATGAGCTCTGGAAATGTTAAATTAATGAAGCAGACAACAGACATCCCTGCTGGGTAATTTAACTGAGTCTTAGGCTCTGGTACTGTATATTAAGGTACGATAACCAGTCTTTCTGATATTTTATTCAGATTTTTTTTTTCTGCTTCATCCCTCTTCAAAACCTCATGACCTTACCGAATTATGCTGTTACAGTGCCCACAGAGAGGAGTTCGGCTGCTGGCTGGAAATCGCTCAGCCCTCTGAACTGTTCCCCGGGCTATTGCAGGAGCCTGGGAAGAAGTTGAAACTGGAGATGGGTAAGCAGAAGTTGAGGCAGGAGATGGTAGTGGAGCACCCTTTGGCAGGATGTGCTTTGTGACAGTGGTGGTAGTTTTTCCAGGTGCAAATTTCTGGGAAAAGGAGTCATCTGTTACCCAGGGAGGGCGACTTGCAGGCTCAGTGTTGGCAGGGGTGTAGGAATGAACTGGTGCTGGTGCTGTTTTAAGTATTCCAAAAGAAACCAAGAAGTATTTTAAAGTCTTTTCTTCTGATGGCAAAACAGTAACACTTAACCAAATTGTACTCCATGACACTCAAAAACTAAAAGCTTCAGATGACACTTAATTATGGTCTGTCCCATTACTGCTCATTAATTCTGGACTGAAGCCAAGGATATCAGCAGAATCACTGACTTCTAATCTACATGCTTTACAGAAGTCATTGCCTACTGGCTTTTACATATTTTATGGAGGCCATTTTCAAGGGCATCTCTTCATTTTCTAGTAGGAATGGATATGACAATTCTGTGATAATTTCAAAGACTGCCATATAATCTGTTTAAGACAGGTTAAAAATAGAAAGGCCAGATCACGTAATAAAGTTTTAGATGGAATTTCCCACAATTTCAATAAGAAGTTATGTTTAAATTTTGATCTCATTATAGTCATTAAAATGCAGCATTCTCCACAGATGTCACTGTTATCTATCATATGTAGGTTTTGCTCCTACGTTTCTAAAGAAAACCAGGCTCACACAGCAAACAGAGAGATCGAGAGCACTGGAAGCAATATTGAGGGAGCCAGTTCAGCTCACATGACCAGCAAGACAAAGCCAACAGCACTTAGGGGAAGGCCAGACTTGCGGTTATGACTGATCTCAGTTCAGTTCTTGGCTCTGCCACAGACTTCCTGTATAACTTCGAGCAAAGCGTAGTATCTCTCTGCCTCAGTTCCCATGTATAAAATAGAAATAATATACTTCCTTTCTTCCACCCTTTGACTATCGCGTAAAATCTTCAGTGCAGACTGCCTCTGTTTGCATGCACAAGGCTCTAATCTTGGGTGGAGCTTTATCACATAAAAATAAGCAGAAACTAGAGCCTGCACATACCGACAAGTTTTCCCATTGCCCTGCTCTTTTCAAAACGTCAGATCTTGCATTGTGTAGGACTGAAGTCACTGCCCAAGAAACTGTCTCATTTTGCCAAGTACAGGAGCACTAAAAGCAGTTTTTCCTTCGCAAGGAAAACAAAGCGAATGATTGTTGGTTTGTGCGAAGAGAAATAGAAGCTTGGAGAGTTTTGCCCAAATGAGAGAGCACAGATTTGGGAACAGAAGTCAGTTCTCCTGCATCTAGGCAAACACTCTGCACAGTAGATCCCAGTGCCAATAAAATGATGACCAAATACAACATCTACAGTTTTAAGGGACTTGCGAGTAGAAAAGTGTTTCAGCCAAGAAGAGGGTTCTGAATGTAACATGGCTCTTTCTGAATAATTAAGCGGTGAGAAGATTATGTTCTACTTAACACTCTCCCTTAGCCCACACCCTGCCACATAGAATAACATACCCTGATTATTGGCAATTGCAGGTACTTAAATTGCAGATATATCTATATCTATATCTATATCTATATCTCAATCCACTATGATCACCCTAGTGATCTCTGATTTTATTCTTTTAATTGATTTCAGAGTGGAATCTAATGCATCTTCTTGATAAAACTTTCCTATGCTACAGCATCAACAAAGTTTAGCTTCATAAAACTGTATCCCACCTTAGCTTGAGGCTTTTTTTTTTTTTTTTTTTTTTTTAACTTGGGAATGGTAAACAGTGTTTAAAGATTTCAGAACAGAGAGTTTATATGCAATCTCTTTAAATCCTGAGGCTGTTGCTATTTATGTATTACGGTATTAAGCGAGGCAAAATTAGAAGGCAATATTTCACCTCTAATTGGTGAGTTCAAAAGGCTCCCACCTATGAGGCTTTCTAATTAAATAAGGTGACTTCTAGCTCATTCAGTTTTGTGAAAGGATTCTCCCTCCCCCAAAAGCCAATTCTTGTGCCTTCAGAGTGCAGCAGCGTATCCCACAGAAGGCCTAACAAAATGGTCAGATACTCAAACCCAGAGTTCCAGAAGTGAAGAACAAATGCAGTCCCAGTACCATTTTTAGGATGTCTTTTCCTATGATTGTCTTTAATAAATTCAGCTTCCAGCCTCTTTGTTTTTCACTTTTTCTTCCTTAATCTTACAATGTCAGTGGTTTATTTTTCCAGTTTGTTTATTCCAACCAATGTAGACAGCACATGATTTATCTGGGTTCCGATTAATCTAGACTCCTTTGGAGGATAAACACTAGGGAAGGGTCTTTGTCTTCCATTCTCTTTACCTTCTATTTCTTTTTACACTATCTATCTTCTCTACCTGCCATGATAAAATAAAGCAGCAAAATAATTTTTTTTCCAGTTGCCGAAAGAAGATACTAGGGGAATTATTGCAAAATGACAAATGTTGGGTGTTTGCAACTGCTCTGAGTTCTCCTTTCAGCCATTAACATTTAATTTTACAGGCTGGATTTATTACAACATATTTTCACTCTGTGAACAGGCTGGAATGACTACTGATTTAAAATTGTGTCATTGCAAGGTATTGGGAGGGTTTCACTAGCTTTGAGATTTTAGCTATCATTACTAAGAGGGAATTATTATCTTATTATCTTACAGCTGTATCCCTAAGCTTATATGAGCAACTCTCTTGTCTTAGCTACTGCCATACAAATTCACCTTGCATGTTTGTATTTCAAGGTCTTCCAACATACATGCAGCAGGTAAAAGGTGCTGTTTGCTGGTAGAAAGCATTCAGTATATGAGAGAATAGATTCTCAAAGTAACAGTATTGTATGAGCTGACCCTTAACAGTTCAAAAATGAATACTTTAAATCATTCAGTAACACAGCCTCTATCACCTTGTTTCTCTCAGCCCTCAGACTCTTTTAGAGTAGGAGAAAAAGAATTAAACTATTGTTATCCTGAGAGAATGGCAGAAGAGGTGTCTCTTAAAAGCTGTAGGAACAAACCAATTCCTTGCTTCTGGGGAATGGGGAATTCTCCCCATCAGTTCTTCATTTATGGTCAATGGCTATTTTCTCTCTAGAAGAAAAGGAGTGTTACCAAAGACTAATTTAATAGTCGCAAATGCTTTACTCTTACACACTAGCTTGCACTGTGAAAGTAATTTCCCTTTTTTTTTTCTTTGTTAGTAGAGCACATAATTGTTATTCTTAATAATTTTCCAGTAACAAATGTAACTCATAATCACAACAGAATTGGCTTGTTCTACACTTAGTGGCTGCATCCTTAAAGCCCAAAATTTTCCTATATACTGTTCCAGTATATAGTAGATGACAGACAAAGAAGATAATGCAACAAGTCCTTTATAAGAAGACACTATTCTTATTCAGAATAATTTAAAATGAAAGATGGTACGTAACCTGTTGTTTTAGAATTGAGGGCGCATAGGAGTCAGTGAAAAGTTCATTGAGATCTGTGGGAATCTTTCTAACAATTTCTAGTAGAGTGGATCAGGCCTTTACACTTGAGCACTTTTACATAATTGAGTAGTCCTGTTTGGATTTACAGATTTAGACGGAAAGATCTCCTTTCTTACTTTTAAGTGTCAGGTTACTTCGTAGTATAAAACTGGCATTTGAGTTGGGTGGAATATACGAAAGCACTATTTTAGTCTGAGAAAACCTACTAGTAAGGAATACAAAAGTATTTTCTGCCATCTAGTGGACCTTGTTCAGAAAAGAAGTCTATGCTTCTTTTAAAAATGGGTTATGAAATTTATGGGACAGAGAAGGGAGAAGATTTTGGGAGTTCACGGCTTTCCCTATAGGAAGAAAACAAAGATTTTTAGCAGCAGAAAATTCTCACCAGAGTTAGGTTAGTCGAAGTAGTACTCTTTCTTTGTTTTAAAGTGTAGATCTACTGATTACTTCCATCTGAGCCAGATATTAAACAACGCAGTTTCATTTTGAGACTGGTTTCAGTGTAAACAGGATTTAGCTCCATTATTTTTTTAAATCTGAGACAGATTAAAATAGACTTGTGAACCTCTTAGCGATTGATTCAGGTTCCTGGGTATTGCATATATGAGTCTGTTGGGTGTTTTAATCTGGAAGTTACTGGCCCACATTTTTAAGGAAAGCAAGTAATTTCCTTCCTGTTAACACTGACAGCTAGCATAAAGACATTCCTCTTCTAAATCCTACGTTGCAAATCTTTATAGTAGTCTCTACTATTCTGTCCTTTTCACACAGTGGATTTACAAAAAGGAAGCTAAGAAATTATTTGCTAAAGTGAGAGTGCAGTTATTGCAAAATCCACTTAGATTGGAAGGAAAGGATGTATTTTGTGATCTCGTATGTCATAATTTGAGGTTGCATTTTACACTGCAGGACAGGGTTTATAGGCGTTGACAAAGTTAGGTGAGGATGTTTTCTAACTGTCTTGATGGTTTGTTTCAAAGTACTCTTGATCTTTCCCATCTGTGATGGGAAATGCTGTTTCCTGCATTTCTTCCCAAGTGACAATTTCCCATTTGTCCAGGACTGCAATTGCAACTGTCTCTAGGGCCAGCTCTACAACCAAGATGAAGTGCTACTACATCAAATATATAAAACTTTAAGAAGGTACCAAAATAAAACCCAAACATCTTCAATAAAATCTCTGTCTGTAATCTTTTTTGTACCTGAGTCACTTTGGGGTTCAATTACGAAAGTATTCTAGAATCCTTTATTAGATATTTCAAACTCCTAAACAATACAGGGAGACTTAGTGTTTCTTTCTCTGCCAACTTCAATGCTATCTGAATTTTGTCTTTTTAATATATCACATTAGATATTATTCTGAATTTTCTCCTGTCCTCTAGAGTACATTATATCCTTGCAGTGCCTGCAAATAAGAACTTTCCACATGCAGGCAGACAATATATAGAGCTGAAGTAAGTTTGTTGTATATATAGCAACACAGAGCATAGTGTCCATATGGTGTATTTTAAGCCAATGACAATGGCTTAAATGGGGTTCAAAACCAGCAATATGAGGAATTGCAAAGAAGATGCCCATCACAGGAGAAAACAAAAGCGCTGCCTCTTATTCTGAGTCTAATCCATCAGCCAGCTTTTTCTTTAACAGATACAGCTACTAATTGGATATAGCTAGAGATTTATTTCTGTGGCAGGTTTGTATATTGACAACTGGAATTTATACTTTCCCCAAATGAGCATGGGGCTTAGTATCAGTCAGTGATATTTTGACTTGCTACAGCTTGCTCTGTTCTGCATTATGGAAATAAATCCTCTGTCTTCATCTTTCCTGCTTTTACAAGACAAAAATAATAACATTTGCCTTCAGTGAGAACATGGTATGTGCAGACACACTTAACCAACAGCAAATGAGGAGAAGCTGAAACCTTTATTTACTCTGAGACCCTTAAATAGCTCATGATAATTCTAAACTGGCATTTTCCACCTTTACATCTCAAATATAAAGATCAGTCAGTTGACCTGTCTGTTTGCTTTATGTATACGTAAAATTTCTGCATTAGTTTCATTTCACTAGATCCAGAGATAGAGCATTACAGAAGATAGAGTTTAAGACTCTTAGAATTCTTGGCCTCTCCATATTTACTTGACTGTCAAGATATAAATCAACTTTGTAATTCTCTTGCTAAGATCAGAACAAGCTTAATTTGAAACAGAACTGCATTTAGACTTATATTGCTGCCTCATTTAATTTGTTCATTTTGAAGGTTCACATTTTGGTCATCAATGGTTTTAGAAGTTCACTCCATTTGTAACACATTAATACAAAGAGAATTTAAGTAACATCAAGGAGCATATTTTCCACATGAATGAAAAATCAAATATATTCCGTCAGTAACTACATCTGTGGGAAATGGAAGCATAGCATTATGAAGTACTTTAATAGGTCATTCTGTATTTCAAATATAAGCCTGAGTTTGAGAAGTTCAATATATGGCCTTATCTATTTTGCAAATATATCCTACTCAAGTTACTTTCACCTATTTTATCTTCTTCCCGAGTTGTGCATTCCTAAGCTATTTTATCAACTCTGAAGTGCCACTGGGCTCCTAACTGGGTGCACTGGGTCATTTTAAAAATGTATTTTGAAAAATCAGGCTATATATTTTTTATGACAGACTTTCCCCTTGCTTTTATTCTTCTTCCTCCATTTGTTCCACATTTTCATGCCAAAACAGAATACAAGTACAATAGTCCTTGATCTTCAGATAATCTGAAGCAAAACTATCAACTAGCAGCATTTAGTTCCATGTATATAAATCCTTCCTGGTATGCATGTGTCCAATTGCAAATTGTGGATTCTTTGCATTTTCTTTTTCCAAAAGAAATGCATGTGCATTTCTGTTCTGAATCCTTTCAGTACTTTGAAGTCACCTTACCTGGCTGGTAGACAGAGGGCTTTATGCTGGCAGTAGTAACAACTCTCAGTTTTGATGTAGCAGAAGAAGCAGGACTTTCACTGTAGCTTCCAGCAACTGGCATTGGTGTATATGACTGGCTTGTGTTTCTAAAAGCAAAATTAAGGTATGAGAAACTTCATAAACAGCAAAAGTTACTGATTATGAAAAAACAGATCTGGCAGCTTCCAAAGCACTCCAAGAGGAACTGTCCTTGAGACCTACGGAGAGAATACTGAGAGATTCATTAGTCTTTATCATTGCTAAGAAAGGCTTGGACAATTCTTTGGAAAGGAAAATTTGACAAATAAGGATTTTAAATAATGCCAAGTTGCTCTTGTTGTCACAGAAAATAGCTTACTGAAGGAATATGACAGAACTATTAAAGGAACTCTCAGTTTCACAAGGGATCAGACCTCAGCAACATGCATACAAAGTTTGGGTTTTCTGTCCCTCTACAAACAAGCAGGCCTGCTCTTCAATGAGGGATATCTCACTGACTAAAACAGATATAGGCTCAGCTGAATTACTACTACTGCAAATACTAACTACTGTTTACAAGCATTGTACTATTTTCAAAAAGATTGTAGGAACCTCTAAAAAACATTTCTGAAACTAACTTTTTTCCCTATTTAGACTAAAACCACCATTTACGTTAATTTTTCTAATGTTCAGATTCACCTAACCCAAAAGCATGTGATATGCAATATTATGATGCAATTCCTGCATTCCTAGAATAACAACATTTGCTCAGGATTCCAAACATCAATAAGCAATACTTTTTCTCTATTTTATGGCTTAGGTAGTGATTCTCAGTTTGATTGTAGTAGCACATGGAAATACATGCCTCTTCTATTTGCCTGTTACTTAGGATGATTCTATTTGTAGTGACTTTGCTTCACAGGTCACTAAAAGAGCATTACAAACAAGGCAATTGAGAGAATAAGAAGTACAAGGAAGGGAAGCAACATACACCAAGATGTGGTCAGTAATAAAAACCATTCATTATCAAACACCATTATTTCTCATCCTGAAAACATAGTTTTACTTTCTTTTTTCCCTTCTGTTTCAACACCTGTATGAACCAGATCCCTGTCCCTTTATGATGACAGTATAGGAGTTATTTCCACAGTGGCTTGTCTATAGGAAAGCATTTGTCAGCATAAGAAAAGAAGCATCCAGCTTTGCCAGACCATTGGTCCATCCTGAGTTGTACTTTTTTTAACAGTGGAAATAGATGCCCTCTGGAGAGAACACTGTATAATTTTTACATATGGCAAACCCAGCAAATTCCTTCCACTACAGGTAAAAAACATTCTGACAAATGTAAACTCTTGACTTTTAATTTTGAACAAAATAAACCTATCCTCACAACATAGCTTTTTGCTACTCTGACAGTCCTTATAGTATAGATCTATTTTGCATAGCTGCTTCAGGCTAATATATTTTGTCTATTTAGTTGGACCTGGAAGCATAGCTATTGCTGCAATGAATATACCTAATTATTTCTGTGCCTAGTCTAGGGCTTCACTATACCGTGAACAGGACTCTCCAAGATAAACTATTTTAATGGGTTTGTATTCACTGTAAATTCTGTTGTAAACTGTGATGTGATTCTGTAACTGCCAAAGCTGTTCTAAGCACAGTAAGACTTTTTACTTTCCATTCTTACCATCTACTTCCTGTTGATACCTCCTCATCTGCAGTGCATAAGAACACACCGTACTGGTGGTCACTGGACAGAGGATCATTGCTCCTACCATAGCACAAACAGCAAGATGTGTGCTTCAGGTATGCAGGCTTCACATACAGCTTTCAAAATGCCTTTAGCTAAACACACACTATCAAAAGACTTTTACTTGCTTTAAAATCTACTATTCAAGGTAAACTAGACAGAAAACCAGTAAACCATACTTACCTTTACAGGATCAGTGATCAGTATTTACATTGTGGATTAAAAGATTTTAAATCATATGCCATACAGCCTTAATCTGAAAATGGCATACACTCAGGAAAGTCTACTCCCAGATTTGTAGGTCCATTGGTAGATAGACTAATTTGAAGCTCTCTTAATACACAAAATACATACAGAAGTTCTGAGACAGATAGTGATACTTAGACTGTCATGAAGAAAAATGGTTATTCAAAATTCAAGTGTTTCCCCAAGTTAATAGCATAGTAAAACTATGCCACTAGATTTCTTTGTGTATTCAGGGAAATGAAGTTGAAAAAATAAAAAACAACAAACACACACATACACAAAAACATGTATTCATAGTACCAAAATAATTGCAAAATTAAAAGAAGTAAACTACTGAACTCCTTTACAAGTGTGATGCATATTAAATACAGTAAGGAAGATAAAAAGGCTTATCAAAGAGAAATAAAGTGTTACACTATATCATTAAGGGTTTTAGTGAAGTTAAAAGATTTATCAGAATTTCTGCTGAAGAAAAGGGAATAGCGTGTGATGAAAGAAAGAGAAAGAAAGAAAAAGAAAGAAAGAGAGAAAGAGAGAGAGGAAGAAAGCAAGCAAGCAAGCAAGCAAGCAAGAGCAAGAAAGCAAGAAAGCAAGAAAGCAAGAAAGCAAGGAAGAAAGCAAGCAAGAAAGAAAGCAAGAAAGCAAGAAAGCAAGAAAGCAAGCAAGTAAGCAAGAAAGCAAGAAAGAAAGCAAGAAAGGAAGAAAGAAAGCAAGAAAGGAAGAAAGAAAGGAAGAAAGAAAGCAAGAAAGGAAGAAAGAAAGCAAGCAAGAAAGCAAGCAAGCAAGAAAGGAAAGAAAGGAAAGGAAGAAAGAAAGAAAGAAAGAAAGAAAGAAAGAAAGAAAGAAAGAAAGAAAGAAAGAAAGAAAGAAAGAAAGAAAGAAAGAAAGAAAGAAAGAAAGAAGAAAGAAAGAAAGAAAGAAAGAAGAAAGGAAGAAAGGAAGAAAGGAAGAAAGGAAGAAAGGAAGAAAGGAAGAAAGGAAGAAAGGAAGAAAGAAAGAAAGAAAGAAAGAAAGAAAGAAAGAAAGAAAGAAAGAAAGAAAGAAAGAAAGAAAGAAAGAAAGAAAGAAAGAAAGAAAGAAAGAAAGAAAGAAAGAAAGAAAGAAAGAAAGAAAGAAAGAAAGAAAGAAAGAAAGAAAGAAAGAAAGAAAGAAAGAAAGAAAGAAAGAAAGAAAGAAAGAAAGAAAGAAAGAAAATCAATAAATAAAAAGATATCCCAAGGATCAAAGATGCTTTAAGGGAACAGGAAGCAATGGCATCTCAAAAAGCAGTGAGAGCACCCTTACTGAATTCATCTGCAGCAGCCAATGGCATGTGATAGGCAGCAAATTAAATACTGGCTCTGAAAACTATTAGTTGTCAGAAAAAGAAAGAGTAAATATTTCTAAGCAGATCACTTTTATGTTAACACTTCACTGGATGCCTATTAGCAGCAATAAACTGGTTTGTTAAGTGCTTTTAAGGTAGAGTAGCTGCACAAAACATTTTTATACCTCTTCTTTGACTGGTAGTTGATGGAGGTGGAAGAATGCCGGTTGAAACTAAAATGAGACAAAAATTGTATTTGAAAAAAATATACCAAGAAAACTGGGATATTTTGTCCTACAGTGAATTTCTTTATGAATAAGAGGTGCTCTTAAGTGCTAAAGTAAACAGCATGTACATATTTATAATCATGTAAGATCAGCGTTACATTGCATTTTGCTTATCTTCTTTAAGCCAGGAATCACAGTGAAACATGAATATTGGTAGTATAAATAAATGAGCTGAGTATATTGCTCCATAAGTCACTCTCAGTTTTGCTTGTTCTTTATTTGTGGAATTCTAATTCAACCACTGGACTGTTAGCTTTGACATTCACCATTTATTTGTATTAGCACAGATAAATAAGTATGAGTTTCTTTTTGCCAGTGTCATAAGCTTAAATTGCATCAAGTCTTAAAAGCAAATCTTGAATGAACTAAAGTCCAAAGATCGGCTAAGTTTCCTACTTTATGAGGCAGCTAGGGCAAACCCACAGAAAGGAAGTCCACAGACAGGCTGGAAGTAGTTGAAGCAACAACATCAAGCCATCATGTTCAACTTCTTCCTTGCAATACCATTCCACTGTTCATTTACTAAACAGAATTTTAGGTAGACAGGTACATTTCTTTTTATTGGAGAAACAGCATCATTTCAGAACATAAATGATTCATTTATGTGAATACAGAAAGTACTTAAAAGTCTGCACAACGTGTGATCTGAGAAACAAGAAGATTCAGAACGAACACAGCTCCCGTCTAAACGCAGAGCAGTGCAGGGCTACATGGCATTGATCACAGCCCACATTTGCCAGAACGACCAGAAGCCTATCATATGCCAGTTATTTTCCTAGCTTCTGGAGAGTTTTGCTTCCCTTCACCACACAGTGCTTGTATTAAAATCCTAGGATCACAGAAGCTACACCTTCCTTTGAGAATCATAATGGTAACTCCATCATTTCTCCTGGGTTTGTATTCCCAGTATACTGTCTCACTGGTTGCCCTGCTTTTACCCTCCAGATGGAAGAACCAATTGCATAAAGAGCTTAGTAGCTTATTTAAAACACTCCAGCTATGCTTCTTCTTTGTAAGTAAGATCATAAGTGAAAAAGTAAGATAACATTGCAGATTTAAAAGTAAGAGTAACACAATCAGTTAAGGATTAATGACTTCAAATATTCCTCTTTAGGAAGATTATAAAGATTTTACTCATGTTAGGTGTTAGCATATGGCCTTGCTCACAAAAGAAAAATCACTGTAGAACTGCATCTACCAAAGTTTAAAATCAGATTTAAATAATTGAGGACATTGATCAAGAAATCCTCCTGCATTTTCTCGGTGGACCATTTTAAGGTATCTAGAAGGAAAAAAACCTCAACAAACACAGGAACAATGGTGGTAAAATCTCAGCCTCATTCTACCTGGGCATGTTTTACAGGACAGGATAGTACTGTAACTAAGGTCATCCATATTTTATTTTGAACTAAAATTATACAAAATGCTGCTATGCTCCACTGGTATATGTCAAGCTGAAACCGGATTCTTAAGTCTATATTTTGGCATGTTAATGCATTGCATTTCTAAATTAAAACTATCAGATGCTTAAAAATTTTAATTATATATTAATCTAGAAGCCAGTTTTAGTCCCTCATGTTTGAATACACTAGCTATAACACATGACAGTTTTTAAAGCAGACGTGGAAGTAGTGCACAAAGATAAAGAACCTGTTTCAGCTGCAATACAGCCCTCCAAAACCAAACAAACTGAGCCTGCTTCTCGTATCTGATTATGAGGGAACCAATTTTTCATAGGTCCTACAAGTTTCTGATTTGCCTTTATGTCCCAAGGCTTGCTGAATTACTGAACTTCCAAGGGAGGTATTAGCTAAGACAATAATATTTGCCTGCTGATAACAGCTTGATGCGTATGTCAGCATGATACCTGTGATCTTAGATCTTTGACTTAAATAATTGCCAGGTACAAGCCATAGGTTTCAGTAGTCTGATTAAAGCATTGCTTTCAGAAATGGACAGTTGTTTTTAATAGATTCATAGAACCTTTCAGGTTGGAAGACATCTCAGGAGGTCTCTCATCTAACCTCCTACCCAAAGCAAGGCCAGCTCTGAGGTTAGACCAGGTTGCTCAATGTTTTATCTAGTGGTGTCATGAAAACCTTCAAGAATGGAGCTGCATGGCCTCCCCAGACAAGCCGCTCCCTTTCTAAGGGGCAGGAAAGGGTAAAATGGTAAAACCAGCACAAACCAACCAAAATGCCTTTGTTCCAAAAGGATCTTTTGGTCACATATCCTAACTAAAGCTTGTAAAATCCAAGCTCAGTTTTAACGTGAAAGATAAGCAAGAAGGCTATTTTTTTTAAACACATCATGCTTTCCAACAGTCGCTGCGAAGCTGATCTCTTAAGAAGCTGAAAACCTTAAATTGGAGAGAGTAACATAGAATAAAAACAAATGAAGTTAAAAGAAAAAGAAGAGAGCTTTACAGATATACCTAGACTGAGACGAGATAGCAGATGAAATAGTGGAAGCTGCTAATGACATGTTCTTGGACCCATGGAAAGGCTTAGTCTGTGAAAGAGAGCTGGGGGCTGCAAGCACTCTGCAGAAGACACAGTAAAAGCATGAAAGCATGTACAAAATAATTTAACAAGGACAAAAACAGTGATCAGAATCAAGCTTTGTCGGAGTTCAGATACAGGAGGCCTGCTGCATAGTTACCAGGAACACGTGTTCTGTAGCATACATCTGCAGATTTACAGAATAGCACAACCAAGCACAATCCTACAGAACACAAGACAAAATGCACACATTATATAAAAAACTTAACACTAGAGTCTATTGATAACTAAGAAAGACAGTATTTCAGGACAGGACATTATCAATGATACATACATGTTTTCATCTGCAAGATCTGAAGATGTTTGAGTCTAAGTTCAAGCTAAATGTTTTAATATGCAAGCAGTACCAGACAAAAGATTCTCCTACACACATGTCATTGACATGATTGGTTTAGTAGGGGCATTTATTTTTGAAGCATACATTAGATAATCCATTTTCTTCATGTTACAATTTAAACAGAGGGATAAAAATTATTTAAACCATATAATTACTTCATATGAATGTGCCTTACAGCACAGTTCTGAATAACAGAATAATACCTTATTCAAATCTCCTTTGCTGGCTGAATGATTGATTTTCTTGCACTGGAATAAAACCACTGGAGTCCGATAGGTCACGGTTAGGTAAAAACTGACTAAAGTGAGAAACTAAGCAGTTGGTATACATAAGTAATTGAAGTCAAGTAGTAAAAACGAAACAAGAAGCAGAGCTAAGAGAACATTTCCAATTCCATGTACGTAAAACTAAGATATGACAGACTACACCTTATATCTCAATTATTTAAAGTAGTTTATGTTACCGGAAGTGTGTTTTTCCTTGGATTTTTAAAGCATGCTGAAATATACATCTTTTAGGAATATTCATGTAGCAAAAACCAAAGATAAAAGAATGACATACACTAAAAGAATTCACTCTTACTATCTTCCAAGATTACTGTGACAGCAGTATAAATCCCATGTGTTTCTTCACAGCTGTCTGACAGCTTTTAATATACAACTGTAACTCCTATTGTACTACAAGTGTTATGAATGCATACCTCCTTGAAACTCACTTTAGCTCTATAGCTAAAACTCATTACAGAAAAGAGAGTAGATGTATCTAATTGAAATTAATTGACTTAATACTGTACAGAGCAAGTCAGTCATCAAATGTGTGGTTTTACTGAAATATTGCTCATTGTCCACCATGTTCTACTGGTACCTGCTATGATATGGTAAACTCAATCATGTGAGTAAATGACATTTTCTAATCTTCCCATTCATGTCATACTGCAGAAACACTATTAAAAGAACCTTCATTCAACCACTGTAACTATTAGGAGGAGTTGTTTTGGTTTTATTACAAGTGGTGAAAAAACATTTCTAGTTTTAACCCTAGATTTGCTTTCTGAAAATGTAAGCTATAATGTAGACTGAAAGCTACATTATTTAGGGCGGTTTTATTCTGCACATTCTTTGCAAACACGAACAACGTACTTCAAAATAAGAAAACCCACCGAAATATATAAAAGTATATAAAATAGGTTACAGCTTTTACATACTCCATTCTTAAGTTAAGAATGTGTATGCAGCATTTCCAGAGCCACACAGGGGTGTATTTGTGAAAGGACAAAGCAATGAAGCATTACCTTTGGAAGGAGGATGAGAAAGACTCTTGCACTACTGAGGTGGTTGCTGGTGGTGTCATCAGACTGGCTGTATTTTGAGCAGCAGTAGCAGGCTGATGTGCTGAAGCATGTGGTGCAGGAGCAGAGGCAGAGCTGGTAGACACCGGAGCATGCTCGACAGGGGTACTAATTAGAGTTAAATTAAATAAAACAAGAAGCATCTTATGAAGGTACATATTTAAATGTAGAGCATAAAACCTACTATGTTTGAACCTGAAGCTGCAAACATAGTAGTAGGCTGTGTTACTGAGGGAAAAGCACAATTATGCGAAGAAAAAAAGACATTTGTTAGGCCTTTTTGGATGTGCATTAAGACTGTAATGCAGTTTTGGTCCTGCATGACTGAAATTTATCCCAGGGTTTTGCAGCACTTAAGTCCTGCTCCCACTGAAGCCAGTGGTAGGAAACACAGCGTGCAGTACTTAACTGGTTGCAAAGAGCCTGTCACAAACTCTTAGAGCTCACATAAATTTCACCCAATAGTTACTCCTGAAGCAGAAGTTTATGTTAATAGTAAACTTTTTAATTAGCTGAAGAAAAGCAATTTAAAGGATATTGTCATAGCCCTGTGTCAGCAGGTTTCCTGCAAGTTCTGGTAGTCTAGACATCCAGTCAGCAGAGTTTTGTGTTGGGTTTAATCAGTTTTGTACAATATAGGTAGTGGAAAGACGTTTAAAAGGAGTCCATTCGTCTCTGACTCAAATTTACCTTACATTACACTGGCTAACCCATCAAACAATAAGATGCTTTTTTACACATAGAACAGAATGCAAAACACAAGGGAAAAATATAGCATAAAATTTTACTGTACAAGTTTTACAGCCACTTGGGTGATAAGCATGAGTTGTTATCCCAGCGGCCCTCTTGTACTACTGTGGCACAGAAAACATGGAGGAGAGAAATATTAATGTTTAATTAATTTTCACTTTGTTGGATTGCAAAATAGATTATTTGAAATGAACAATAATAATAAAAATTAGTCTCATATCCTGTGGGCATTTTAGTGACCTACTGAACTACTAGTGTCTTTCACCACCTGCTACCAGAGCACCCAGTGCTCATTAACATATTTCAGCCTTGCAGTCTCACTCAGATTTGGAAAGTATTACTTGTCTCTTACAGATAGACAAATGGGGCAAAGTTCTCTATTAGCTGTGCAAGATAGTTTAGTCAAAGCCATCCACTGCTAAGAAATGAACCAATCTTTTGGGAGGTTCAGTTTATCGTCTTCCACTAGCTCTTACATCAAATGAAAAAAAAATAGTAAGAAGAATCCTTAAGTGGACTCACAAGATTCAAGTTCTTTGCTGACTGTTACAAAAGAATAATAATATGTACATTCATTATTCACTTGTCGATAAACCTAAAAAAAAATCACTAGGTTATTTAAAATTAAAAGGTGTTGGGGGAGGAAAGGAGAAACAAGAAAAGACAAAAGCTTTATTTTGTTTTTAGGCAGACTTTACTGTGGATTTTATTAATTATTATCCACAGAACAAATAAGTCACTGAAAAATAACTAATTACAATTTGATTTTTCAGATTATTATACTATTTTGGGGCACAAACTTCAGTGGTAATATAAGCATATTTTCCCCAGGCATAAGGGACATTTTTCTTGATGCCATATTATGTGCTGTAGATTAATTTTCTTCAGTAGTTAACCTAATACTTTTTTTTGTTGTTGTTTTAATCAGAGCATTACTGTACATGGCATAGGAGGCATATAAGAACATAATGCATATCCTTTTACTTCTTTGACCTAACTCGTAAGTATATTGCCACATCTCTAGGTTCTTACAATTGACTCCTATCAAGGTAATGGAATTTGGTGATTCTCTCGTGCAGCATGCAAAGAATGCTCAAAATATTATTTCTGGAGCAAGTACCTTTCTGGAGTAAATATCAAATAACAAAAAAAAGCTTACAGTACCATGACTGTTTTTCAGAAAAACCTTAGCACTCAAACATTCTTTCTCACAGCTTTTTTTACTATGCAAACTTGCCATTGTGCAAATATTTTCTGTCTTTCGGCCATTCTATCTGATGGTTTCTTTTGCTTCTCTCAGAAGCATCGATTCAACAAGTTATATTCCTCAGGACCTCAAATAAGTGCTTGGCACTTCCAAATACGTGACACCCCTTGCTCTTCAAGGGACTGTCCCATTCCTCCTGTCCTCCTCCTCTTCTCCACCTTCTTGTATGGTGTAGTAGTCCAAATGATGATGTTTTATTTCAGCCGAATATTTTACTGTTTGATTAGCTGAAATGGAAGTGTGGTTGTTATGCCCACCACTTTCAAAGCTGATTGCAACCCATGACAACAGCAGAACATCAGTATTTTCTCCCTCAGGAGTTTTATCTGCAATTCTATACAGAACAAGCGAGCTCCTGAAAATACTCATCCTGACCGCAACTCTGGTTTTCAAACCATTACGACAAAAGTTTTGCAAAAGCTTGTCCATCACAATATGCATTTGAAATTTAGATAATTTTTCCATCTTGATGCATTTGCATTACGGAGTAAATTCTTCCACTTAGTTAATACAGCATCAATTACACAGACTAGGTAGCAGAGTAGCTATATATTATATGACAGCTGTGGATCACAGGATAATCTGTTACCAGGTTTTAATAGTTGCAGGATTTTTTTCACCCTGTGCAACAGTGGGTAGTGGAATTGTCACATTAAAAAGTGTTGAGTCAAAATCTAGTACTTGCATATCTTTGATTTGGCAAATAGTAAGGGACTGAAACTATATTGCACATAAAAATGGAACTTAATATATATTGTAAAACCAAATACGAACTAGGATTTCACCTATTTTGTCTTTCTATTTTCACTGGCATGAAAGGGATTTATACAGATTTCAAAAGAATCAAGACTTCATACCTTGAATAGAAGAAAACAGTGAAGTTACTTAATTGTTGTAACGATCTCCGAAATGTTAACCAAAACACATACTCAGTGATATATATTTAAAAGAAAGGAAAAAAAAAATAAATAAAGAATATGTGTGGACATGGACCTGTGTGGAGACAGATTTGAACTGGACAAACATATAAATAAAATAAATGCAAACATACTGGAATACCTTATAAAATTTAAAAGAAATACAAACACATTTTATCTTGCATGCTGTTTGTAATAATTCTTTTTAGGTGATTAAAATGTTAGGGGCTTGATCACCTTCCTGCAGGGTAGAATATATTACTAACAGAAAAAGGAATTGGAATAAATATAAAATGAAGTAGATCTAACCCCCAAATCAGGGTGATCTGGTTACATAAATTATATGCAGTTGGTAACTAACATTTTTAGTTTAACCACTATAAATTTTAAATCATTTTATTTAGATATTGAAATAAAATAACTTCTTTTTTCTCAAGACTGCCTCCTTTTTAGATTTTCAAAATGATACTATTTTATGTTAGTTCTTCAGGTGCAGAAGAATTTTAAGAACTGATAAATGTGAATCCTGCTTCATAAAATAGATCATCTACTATAACAGCTTCATTATTACATACGTTACAGAGTTTTTTGGTTTGGTGGTGTTTTTGGTTTGTTTTTTTTTTTTTTTTAATACTGCCATTCTGTACACTTTTAATCTTTACAGTATTTTGTATTTTAAGGAAAATCAAAGGAAATGGATGTTCTCAAACATCTCCATATTTCTGGTAACAAATAAACATAAAATACACAATGTGAGTAAGTTATGTGGATGAAAACAAATACGCATATCTCTTCTCAGCTGATTTTCAGTCATGAAAAGGAACACAGATCAGTAGAGGTTAAGAAGGTAATAATGGTTAACAACCATAATGAGAAACACAGCAACAAATGCACTCTAACATTGAAAAAAAAAGTGCAGATTGCACATCTTTCTCTCAGTAGAGTCCTAAGTTCCGAGACTTCCTGTCCAAATAACAATCGAGTGGATTATTAAAGCAGTACTTGGTCTCCTCTATGTAATGCATGATGTTATTTTTGTTTCAAATCCTCCATAAGATCTCTTATAAAGAATTGAAAATATAGGGAACAAAAATAAAAATTAATAGGCAAAAATGATCTCTTATTGTAGCATTTGTAGAAAAAAGCACTGAAAGTGTTCAGAGAAAGACATAATGTGGAAGAGTTTTGCATTTGAATATGGGAGTGTTTGTAGAAATACAGTGAATAACAGTGCTGTTTCTCTGCAGGAGGTGCTTAATGACTGTTTGTCTCTATATTGTAGGTGCGATCCTTAAGATTTCCACTTAAAATGTAAAACCCACGTGAACTGGAAGTTGCTGGAATTTGTAGAACTTAGACAACTGCCTTTTAGGCAACGGGCATTTCTGTCTGAAGGAGTTAGAGGTTGTTATTACCAAACCATTCCAAAGCTCCAAGCCAGGTCAGTTATAGAGTTACATGTCACAGTGTACCTTTGATTACTGGATGAAGTAAGAGGGACTTTCTGGCCAGTACTGGTGAAACTGGCCTCCCTCTGACTTGGACCCGCTCCAAGCCTCACAGACCCCTTGGAGGCCACTGGCTTAGCATTGTCAGTGTTGGCATCTGTGGTGCATGATTTAGGAGGATGCCAAATACTTGAGGTCACATACTGTGGCACATGCGTAGTAGCTGTAGGCCTGGGTAACAAAGATTATAAGGGGATTTGTAAATGAGGTATTTATTATCACATCACCAATTTCCTAGGCAATAGCAGGTATTTGAGGGAGAGACAGAGTTCCAGCCACAGAAGAAGGTGGTGGTTTAATAGAAAAAGGTTTGTTCCACTTTTTAATTTTCAGAGATACATGTGCTTATTGTCTACCATATCAAATAAAGCAGCATTTTTGAATGCTAATACCTGGCCCTTTAAGACAGCAGTTATTATTTCTATGGAGTACAGCCTTCAGAAAACAAACAAACAAATAAAAAAACCCAAACAAAAACTAAGACACAGAAGTGCTGAACCTCATAACTGAAAAGTCAAGTTAAGTCTAGGCTTAATAATGAAGGCTTTCTTTTTCTGTCTTTTCTTTTTCCTGGAAGATTTATATCATAAACATACACATACAGTGTCCTCTTTTTGTATCCCCAAATTCTTTATACCACATGAGATCACCATGATATTGCAGATGAAGTCATGACAAATCTTGATAGTTTATTAGTTTATTACCACTTAAGACCAGGAAAGGCTTTAAGAATTAAAAAAGGTACCTTGTGTTAAGTCTGGAAGCTGTATTGCTAGAAATATCAAAATAAGACATACAGCAGAGCTGTGATGATAATGGAGGTGGAGAAAAGCTATGGTATGACAAACCATGCAAGACTAAGGCAATGTAGTATGACACTAACACCAGTCATACATCAGAAATTGTTCCTGGTAAAATAAAATAATTACTAAATAAATAAAAAATCAGTGGAGCAGCTGCTTAGTCCTGCAGATGATTTTACACAAATGAAACTGCTAGTGAAATGCTAACTTGTTGCTTGCTTTTTCAATTTGATTTACATACTGTTGTTATACAGGAATCTAGGGGTTTATTCATTCTTTTGACATAATTAATTTAAAAATAAAAATAAATTTTCTTTACTGTTCCAAGTGCCAGTTGCCATTGCTTATGTCATTAGTAATGATAATGTTTGCACTTAGATTTTAACTCTATGCAACTTTTGTTCAAATGTGAGCAGTCTTATAAAAAACAAAAAAAAGTGGTTTATGCAGGAATCAAGACAGAGGAAAGCAGTGAGACAGAATTCTTTTAATGACAAACTAATATGAGGCATTTGTTTACTCCATTAAACAACTGGTCACTCAGGAAGTACCTGTTTTTCAGTGCTTATGTGTTTTAGTGTATAAACTAATAGAAAACAATACATTTCTATATGTAACTGCAAAATGTGCTGAAATACTTTGGGAGAAAACTTTAAAATGAAAGAACTTACTGAGATACTATGTGTTGAACCTCATAAATCAAGATACACATGAATCTGATATATAAATGTTCTAAAATACCAAGAAGATAATCTTATTTAGATTTTGAAAACATTTTGAGCAATCTAGGCTAAGTTTAAAATGGAAATTATTCTTAAAACTCCATCATAAACTGACAATACTCCATTTCAAGAACATTTGATAAAAGCTTCTTATTTTTCAGGTTGATAAATTCTGAGAAACATGATCCCTGCCTGCCTCATCTCACAGAGCTTTTTGAAGTCTACATAAGAAAAAAAATGCCTACAAACCCACTTAGCTGAAACCTCTACATTCACCATCTGCTCAGTGTAGAATTTTCATGATTTTGAGGTAAGAACAATATGGGGAAAGTGGAGGTAAACTGTGAATAGGAGGTAAGCCAAACACACAGCAAACATTACCTGTTTTCTGATGCTGCAGCAACATTTTCCTTGTCTCTGTGAAAGGAGGGGATACAGTATGAATAAAGTAAATGCAACTAGCAGTGGTGGCAAAAAAAAACCAAACCAAAACAAACAAAAAAACCCAAACCAAAACAAAGAAACAAAAAAAACAACAAACAAACAAACAAAAATCCCCCCAAAACAAAATAGGGAGAAAGAAGATGGGTTGAGGAGCAATGTTTGGTTGCAAAAAGCATCCTAGAGTGGTTGCTCATAAATATAGTTGTGAGAAACCTCTTCAGCTCTCCAAGTGAAACCCACCAAATATGTAAGCTTACTATATACTTCTCAGTTGCAAACAACTGTGTTTCAGTATTAAAGTAAAATGAAGGAAAATTAACAGTTACAAATTAGTCATTGTATGTATGTCTATAATTTCAGGCATAGTTTTGACTTCAGTAAGTTCCCTCTTAAAAGAAAATGTCAAGAATATTCCAGTGGAACATAATCTGATACCACCTCCGAGGAGTAAAAATAATCAGACTTGGGCAGTCCTCAAGGATCCAGTATTTTGAAGTGATAAGCAGTTAAATGGTTAACAAAGACTCATACAAGATGGATTATATATGTCTGGCATCACTTGAAAAATTTTCTGTCTGACTCAAGTAAGTTCTAGCTGTCTTGATTGAAGTCAGATTAGAAACAAGTGAAATCATTCCTTTATTGAGGTGAGTCAGCCTCAGTTTCAGTGATAGAGAATTAGGCTGTTATTTTGTAAACACACATACATGCTTACAAAAATAACTGATCAGTTTAAGTGCAAACAATTGTGTATCTGTAAGAAGTTAAGACATAGGTATTTTCATACAGAATAGAGTCCTTTAGCCTTAGATTCCTGAGTTTGAAATTCAATTCAGTAAAGTAATCGAGATAGTCTCAATATTTAGCAATTTAGTGGATGGTTGTGTCCTTTCCTATTTAAGGAATCGTGCTGGAATTTCAACATATTTAAAGTTGAAATATGTCAAATGAGGACATTTTTCTTAACTGGGAGCTAAAATTACAAAACACTAAGCAAATGTCTCTGTTTACCCAACTGAATCTTCTTTCTGAAATGTCCTTTGAAAAAAAGGAATACATGTATTTACTTATGTGGATTTGTTGGGCTCCAATCATTATCTTACATTACATTGGAAGGCTATTCTTAATACTTTCCACATTATTAGTACTATTTCATAAATTTGCCTCTGTGTTTATGTATGAACATGTATGTAGATATGTACAGTCACATACTCTTTCCTTAGTTTAGCTCCAATAAAGTTACAAAAAAACAGTCCAGCTCACATCAGCAAAGGTTTGGGCATAGGTGTTCTCTACCAATTTTTAAAACCTCTAACTAAAATGTAACCCCTAAAATATATGATTTGAAGCCAGATTTTCAAACCCAGAAGTAGATCTGAAATGCCCCTCAGATGTGGCTTATGACTAAGAATCTTATTATGGCCTGTCTTGAAAGTACATACCCCAGTAAGATCAACTGGTTCACCACTCTAAAGCAATGAGAAACCAAACACTATCTTTATGGTAACCAAGCTGTGAGTTCACTGGGACGTCAGGTATAGGAAAGCCAGGATGAAACAAGGTAGAGGAGGATGGATTAGAAACTGTGCCTGTGGGGCAGAAGTGTCAGTATACCAAGAGCCATAATCATGCGAGAATGTTAAAAAACACAGTCAAGCCTGAAAAGAATAAAGCATTGTTTATTGCCCGTGTTACCAAATATTCTATGAGGAGTTACAGGAAGGACCAAAAGGCAGGCAGATGGGGTCAGGCAGAAGCAGTGTTAGGCCTCTGTTGTTACTATTAATCTGATCCAAACTTTTTTGCTCCGCTAGCTATGGCTATGCTAACAAATTCAGAAAAACGTCACTTGACTTTGAGGTCAGGATTTCATGGAAGCTTTTTCCATGAATGTGCAAGTATAGGAAAATGTTCAGTGACAATGGCAGGGGAGTTGTGAAGGTTAAAGAGAGAGAAGTATAGTAAACATACTTCCACAGAATAAAGCAAAGGAAAAGGCAAAGAGTAAAGGGAAAGATGAGCTCAAAGGCACACAGTACTTCTTCATGATTTTGCTTCCAGGAACCATTTCTCTTCCCAGTCAACAGGAGTAATTCCTGTTTGGCTGACAGTGAGAAAGGCTCAAGATCAGATGCATCTCTTATTGGCAATATTTGCATTGTGAGGAACAGACTGTTGGACTGTCAGCCCTTACAGTCAAATATATCTTGCTAACTAAATGCAGAACTAATTTTACTTTTTAGTTAAATACATCCCTGGGGCAGGCTCAGTGAAGTTGATACCTTCACAACATGGAAGAATTTGGATCAGAATATTATGAGCAGTTTGTCTCTGTGGCTACACAGGCTGCTCAAATAACTGACAGTAGTGGATAGTAGTTTTGTGCTACTGGGGAAGATTTAATATTAATGGATTTTTTTGTCTGCAGCCTCTTTAGTTCTCAGTTTAAATGGCTTTTGATAGAAGGACCTTAGTCAATGACTGTTCTGAGACAACAGTGCAACTCCCACAGATTTTATTAAATATTGGACATATATCTCACACAAGATTTATTTATGCAATATACTACCTTCCCAATTATACAGTATATTATACAATGGAAATTATGAAATGTTTTCTTCCCATAAAAATAAGCTACATTATATGGTCATAAAGACAGAGTGAATGAAATAATAGAAATAGTGTTTCCCTCCCACACACTAGCAAGAATTATAATAGTCTGAGTAAAATTAATTTGCAAGCCAAGCTCATGTGTGCTACTGGATCCTAAAAAGAGCCTGAGGAAGCTTCAGAGAGTTTCCAGTAAATGAGTTGGTCGAATCTGAACTGTATGTACTGGACACTGGTATACTTTCCCATTCTATTTTATTTTTGGAAACCAAATGTAAAAGATTCCCAAACAAACATGTACATTTAACAGGCGACCTGAGATGTGAAGCTTGTGCGCCTTCCATATACCTTCTCCTTAGAGAATAATGGATTTAGACTCTCTCTCTAGAGAGTTCTCTCTTGAGAGTCTCTCTCTGTTCTGTTAAAATGTTGTAGAGACAGAATCATTTAATCTGCAATGAAGATCTGATGCCATAAGGAACATTAAACATCCTGAGAGAACTCATGGTCCTTCACCTCTTCTTTGTCTTTCTGTACTGAACCAATAAATGAATAGTAGATTTGATTTTTTTCTCTGTATTCTAATGGAACAAGACTATTTTTCTCATTTTACAAATGAGGAACTAAAACTCAATAGAGTTGCTCATGGTCAAAAAGAAGGTCCACAGCAGGGCAAAGAACTGAAATAAGTTCTCCTGAACCCCAACTAAGTATTTAAAATATCAGCTCACCCTCTTTAATAAGAGATTACGGATTTTTAAATTAATATTACTATTCAGTTTATCAATATTTTCCTGTATTGATCATCCAATAGTCTTCTATAGAACCTGACAGACACATACTGGCCTTTTTTTCAGGAAATAAAATAGTTAAGACTTACAAATTATTAGGGTCTATATCTAGTGAAATTAAAAATTCTGTTTTTCTAGTAGTATATTGTGGATTTGCAGGACTTGTCCTTATTAGATTTACAGCTTTCATCCTAACATGTACTAATATTTACATAAACATAATTGCCTACAAATGAAGTTTCCTTTTAAGAGGTCAAAGTCACAAAATAGTTTTAAAAGAAAATCTTTTAGGGTGTCTGGGAGTGAAGTTGTGTGAAAGCTATTTCATAATTGCCTTTCAAACACTTATGTCTCAAAGGCATGAGATACTGACAAGGTTGGAAACTGGACACTGAGCTAGATTAACTGCTGTTCTGATCCAGTGAGGCTATTTCTACCTTTCTGTGGTTGCAGCTGAGAATTTTTCGATGGTCAGATGAATATAAAAAGATTGTTTGTCTATTTTTTCCTCAAGGTATATTTTTGTTATCTTAACAAAGACACCATAAGACACACAAAGAAATCATAGGGAGTTAATTGGAGAGGACAGAAGACAACTATCATGCTGGTTTAGTTGAAACTTTAGCTTGGGATCAGAAAAAAGTGGTAGAAGAGCTAGTCTCTCTTTTTCAGCCACTGTAGTTAAGAATGTGAGCAGCCCACGCCAGAATGATTGCAATATATCCTACTAGGATGTCTGCTTTCCAAAACAGGGAAATACATTTCTCCCAGAAGGTGTCCTAGTTTGTGCAGACAGTGCCACGGAATAGGAAAAGCATTCTCATATATTCAGTGGAAGAACAAACAACCAGCAGCTCATTCTCAACAAGTAGTATGGAACTCAATCAAAGCAGCTCACTAAAATCAAAGCAAACACCTCCTATGGATGCATTTTAGTGGCATCTAATGGTATGCTGTTCTATTTAACAGTCAAATAATAAATGCAGCTGGAAACACAGCAGCATTGGTGTTGGTGAAAGTTAAGATAACTCTTGGTTTACATAGTGATATTTGGCATGCAAGTATATGTACTCCAATTTATCTGATTGGCAAACACAACACCTTAGTAAGAACAAAGACTGCAAAATTCTGAGTATGCAGAGCAATTTGAGCTGGGGTATATTTCAGATAATTATTCCCTATCTTGGCCTTAAGCGTGCAGTTGGATTTATCTGACTGGTTCCCTCTAGCTTTTTATAGCCCCACTGGTAATGCGCAGATATCTGCCACCAGGCACCAGAACACAGGCTTGGGGCTTTCCGTTTGTATTTGTGACCATTACAGACAAAGCCAATGCACAAGTTTAGGTATTGTACGCCAGGAAATGACTCCCCTTTCACGGAAGTGTTCTTTCTCATTGTGACTTCACTTCTCTCCAGGGAAGCTGAGAAAAGAACAAGAACCCACAGATCTCAAATAGAGCCGGTAGTTTTTTAGAGCTACTTTTTAGTTTCTGTACGTTGATGATAAGAAAATTAATACATTCTCTACACGGTGTTATCCTAAGTTTGAAGCTGCATCTGAAATACACTA